GTTCCAATATTGCTGGTTCAGTAGAATATTGAAAAGAAACTGAATTGAGCTACATTTAAAGTCCAAATAGGCAACTTATTTTATTGCTGATTCAATGATGTTTTTCATTGTTTAAAACTTGAGTAATACTAATTGTTCAGAGAGACACGATCACTCAGTCAACAATAAAATATCCTCATTAATGTTCAATAATAGTCAAATCCACCTTTATTTTGTGATTTACGAATAATGTCTATTGACTTGGGTCGCAAAGGTTTGTGACTTTTAAAATATGGGTCCCACAAAAAAAGTTTGGGAAACACTGGTATAGAGAATTAAAATATATTTTGTATTTTTTGTTACCTTGCTCAATTAGTGTAATGAATAGTTAAAATAGATTCACCCAATTTGCATTAAATTAAAGTGTAAAAAATTCAAAATACAAATTATAACAGCTTTATATTAAAATGCACGTTTGTTAGAGAACCATGCACGCACTACAAGAAGAACTGTGTTTTTCACCACAATTTAATACTGTGTAGTTGTGTACCACCAAGTACCACCAGTACATCTGTGACATGTTAGTGTCATATGAACCATCTCGCACTCTGAGGACCTCAGGGACCGGCCTCCTGCTGGTGCCCAGAGTCAGAACTAAACAAGGGGAGTCAGCGTTTCAGGTTCATGCAGCTAAAACCTGGAACAGTCTTCCTGAACATGTGAGACAGGCCTCTTCTGTGACGCTGTTTAAATCCAGACTCAAAACATTTCTGTTTAACTGTGCATATAACTGAAAGGTTTTCATTTCGCACTCTTCTCTCTTTTTTAATTTTAATCTTCATGATTATTTATGTTTTGATTTGTTTTTATTATGATTTTAATGTATTTCTTATTCTGTAAAGCACTTTGAATTACTTTGTGTACGAATTGTGCTATACAAATAAACTTGCCTTGCCTTACCACCATGTATTCCTTTTAGAAAAGTAACTCTATTCTGAATACCACCAGATGAAAGAGTGACTGTACTGAACTGTGCTGTAAGTGTCTGAATACATATTTTCTGTGTATGTATTTAGTTACTTCCCATCACTGTATACTACATAGGCCGCATTTGTCACTATTACTGAGCGTAGCAGTCCTTTTCTTACTCCAGCAGAGACAAAAGCTGGCAGGCCTTTTGTAGAGTAGCCCACAGAATCAATGTGCCCACTCACAGCAGTTTGAGCTCAGAACAGTTTTTCTTGGCGTGTCAGCGGGTGCACTCCTGGCTCCTGGTCAATACTCCGGCCTCGTCTCTATCTCACAAGCTGCAAGACTTGTTTCCTGCTTTCGCTTTCTCCGATGGAAATCACCCATCAGCTACTACAGCACTAAACAGCCCCCCCCGGGAGCCCCATTGAAAGTAGCTTTAATGAAAAATAGATGTAAAGGAGAAAATGATGATCACGTTAACTAGGTTGCTAAGGTTGCCCTAAGACAGACAACGTATGCTTATGTTTCAGTTTGGAAGTAGTATTTGATTTCTGTTTTCATTTATTTATTTATTTATTTAGATGACGCTCTATTCCATATATGGCACACACTGTAAATAGACATGTTTATAATGCTCGAAAAGCATGTATTGTCTCCTTGAGCGGGATCACTTGTCCACAGATCTGACCTGTAACTTGGCCTGGTGGTGTCAAAAATAGAGGTAAAGCATAAAATTATCACGTTAATTAGGTTGGTAAGGTTGCCAAGGTTGCCGTAAAACAGACAACAATTATTTTTATTTATTTATTTGCTGTATTATTTTATATTTAATTTATTGATTCGCAAATTAACTAACTATTTGGACAATGCACATTTACATTTATACTGAAAAAAAAGACAGATTATAGCTACTATACTATTACTGATTTGCATCTGCTGTCCATTGGGAGTTAACCAAACAAATAAAACATACAAAAAGGAGATTAGAGCAGTGTAAGGAAATGTTAAAGGTTTTTTGACTAGTGATCACATTACTGCTTTGATTCTCAGCTAAATCTCGTTTCATTCAAAATAAAACCTACAGTAAAGTTAAAGTTTTCGTTCAGTTTTAATCAGATTATGTACATTTGTTAGTTCTACCAGAAAACTAATCTCTAAAGACTGGTGTCAGCTGCGATCTGATCTCAGAGATTTAGGGATTAGTTTGGTCACAGATTGTCACTTTTATTAGCCAAAACTCTCACTTGTGTTACTTGGAGAAACTGATAACTAAATAATAACTAATAAGAGTTTTGGGGGTTTTTTTGTTCTTTTTTTGATTTGGTTTTTCAGTTTTTGTCTTCACAGAGGCAGGGTGTGTTTGTGCATTCATGGCCTGCTGTCATATGAACACAAGTCTCTGCACACTCCATAAGAGGATCATCATAAATCCCTCCAAATGTACTGGCCTCTTCACAGTTTACACAAAATGACTATCCTCTGAAAATGACAAAAAATACAAAGACTCATTACTGTGTGAGACATAACAAATAGAGATGTAATAATAATAATAATCACTGAAATATTGTGATTTTCTATCATCAAAAGTCTCACAGTGATATCAGGGCTGTCACAATATATCAAACTAAAAGCCTTGTTTGCTTAAATGTATTGTTTTGTTGCAGTAACAGCTAAAAACGGAGGGGACTACATAGACCATGATCCTTTGCGCTGTTTCAGTGCAGACAACATGAAGAAATAACTGTTATTAAGCACTTTTATAATTATTTGCATTATTATAGTAATGATACATACCAAATCATGTCCTAGCATTTTAAAAGGAAAAAGTAGCATAAATGAATACCATGATAATATTGTACTGTGAGATTTATATATAGTTGGCTCCCATCATACAACTATTTAACGGAAAGAGAACATTTGCGAAATATCTTTTAACATGTAACTCCACAATGGCGTCTTTCCAAGCAGTTGAAATGATAAAATTTGACACATTTCCCATTATTGTCTGAATATTCTTTTGTGAGACTGCATCATGCACATAAATAGAACAATCACAACAGAAAGAAAGTCATTGTCGTTTACAGCTGCAGTGGCGTCTACAAAAAGCACCGTAACAAAGCTCCCAGCTACTGTGTTATACTTATTCTCATGCAAAACGTGACATTTGAAAATATGCCCCAAGTTGGCACTGAAGGTTAGATGTGACTATGGATACCTTCATTTTGTTTAGGTGCTATGCAGAGGTTTGTTCTCATTAAAACCCCCCTGAGAGTTATTTGTTATTTAAGATCATTTTAGGGATAGTCATGTGCAAAAAGAAATGCAAGATCACTGTGCTCAGAATCTGTTTTTTTTTCTTTTTTTATATCATCTTCTACCGGAAATATGCTTACTCAAATTATATGTACTTACTATTGTACCTACATCTTATCTTAAAAGTGCACTGCGCAACTTTTCTGGTGGAGGGTCCGACTCTGCTACCTGCTTGTCTCGGGTCTACAGGTCTATTGCTCAAAAACACAAACAGGTGGTGGACCCTCCACTATAAATGATATCCAATACACCTTTAACTTTTAAAATTTCTAACCATTGTTTTACACGCCTGGCCAAACAATATCTTTAAACCGTAAAAAAATAGCTGTAAATAGTATATGCATATGGAGACTGAGACCGAAGGGGGCTATAGTTTTACTTATTGATTGACTGAATGAATGATTGCATGTATTTGATTGGCATGTAAGCCATTTATGACAACAGCCTGTCCAGGGACTGAAGGTAGAAGTCAGCAATCTTGCCTGGCACAACCTTCACACCTGGCACAAACATATAACCTCTTTGTGTAGGACAATTTTTTATGTGCTTTGTCCCTGATAAAAAAAACAACAAATAAATAAATAAATGTTAAATGATATCAAGGATTGCCAGTTTGCCACACTATATATAGTTTGTTCTCTCACCTTGTATCTAAAGCAATACAATACTTATGCAATGTCATGTAAGGAAAATGCATTAAGTAACTCCTGATGGAGAGTCTGCCTCCTGCTTGTCGTCATGGAGAGCTTGCTTTGCCTGAAATGTTCCACAGTATGCACAGTATATGGAAATAAACGTATCTATTTCTAGAGACAAGCATGTTATAGCAGCAGGCCAAGTTACAGGTCAGATCTCTGAATATTTTTCAAAGTATTGATTGAGGAATAAAAACACCAGCAAATGAATAAATGCAAGATACTAGATATACTGAACATTTCAGGTGAAGCAATGGTGTCTTTATGGAGACCAGCTTCCATTAGAAAGGTTACATAGTGCATCTTTAAATTGTCCAGATTATTGCTAAAACTGTGAACCAAATGGTACTCTTCAGTTTCCACACAGTATACTCTCACACATAGAGGACAGACGTGACCCACAGCTGACCCGTTTTGCCTCCACCAGCTTAACTGAGTATTTCCTCCTCCACAGAGCCTCGTCCTCCAACATTAATGTCATTATTTAATTTGCTCTGTACTTCTTCAGTGATAGCCCAGTCTAATGTGCTGTAGGTCTTTGTTTACACTCAGTAAACTTTCACAAAACCTAATCATGGTCAATAACAATAACAGTCCTGAGTGGCTTGATCACTTGGACTGTGACGTAGGCTACATAAGTTACATTCATTCACCCCCTGGGATTCTGGAAATATTGCATAATGAACAACAGAGATTAGCTTCATGGACCAAAACATCAACACAGACGTCCACTTGTAGTTTGGCCTTTTTGTTGTTTGAGAAACATGAGGTTATATTTACACAACTAAAATCACAGTGAAATTAACACATTTAAGTTGAATAATATGGTCTAATATATTGATGATTCCACATTATTATTTTGACCTGTTTTGTGATACCATAACTGAATGTATTTTAACACAAACTAAATCACACACACACATACACACACACACACACACCCTGACCCAGAATGACCCCTGACCCCTCGTATCTCAGGGACCAGTGCACGCGGCTCTGCAGTGCACCTCACCTGTGCCAGCTGTGCACGTGCGCGCTCACCTGTACGAGCTGCCCGTTGTGAGCTCCTGTTTGATCTGCCTGTTGACTGCATCCGCCGCTCGGCCTTTGCCCTCTCCTTCCGCCTTTAGCCCCACTTTCTTCTGCCCCTCCTGCTTTGCTGAGCGCGTTTTACGCTCCTGGCTCTGCAGAAGGTGTTTCTCTTGCACCTGGTCTGCAATAGCACTTTTCTCTACGCCGGTGTCCTTGGCCGCCTGATGCTTCGCGAGCCTTGACCTGTGGGGCGCGCGGTCATCTCCAATGGAGATGGTCGCGGTTGGTCTGGGTATCCAGGGGTGGTCGTACCTTTTGGGTATGGGCCAGGGCTTGAAGTCCTTCTGGTACTGTGTTTCGCTGTTGAACGGTGTCTCCGGTCCGTGGTACTCGTTCCTCGGTTTACAGCTCGGCTCCGGGCGCACTTTCCAGTGCTTAAAGTCCTCGCGCATCACGGAGCTGCACACGCGCTCCTCAGAGAAGCACCTGCGCTGGGTACCTGCGCGTGCCGTGCGGGGATGCGCTCGAGACGGCTGCGTTTCTATGGCGACTCTCGGCGGGGGAGGGTGCTGCAGCTGCGGCTGTAGCTGAACGTGCTGCATCTCGGAGACATCCGTGTACTTGGTGAAGACCAAAGGCACCGCAATGTCAGCCTTGTCCAGCTGGTTCCAGAAGCGGGCCATGCAGCAGGCCCTGGTGATACAGGGCCAGGCCATGGTGAGCTGAGAGCGAGCACAGCCGAGGACCAAAACCCGATTTTAAATGTTTACAGCAAAACGCGCTATCCGTATAGGCTACTGACAGAGAAACAAGATGTCCGTGCGTCAGCTTGGAGGTTGGAGTCAGATGTCCATTGTGACTGTGTAACTCATCTGAAAGGTTCTATCGGTTTTGTTGTTGACTGGAAAAAAGGTCCCGTTCCTCTCTGTGTGTCCGCTCTGTCCCGGAGCTCTTGCTTCATCACTTTACGACAGGCCACTGTAGGAAAGACGACCCCGCCCGCCTGCTCAGCATCCCACTGGCAGCGCAGTTTGCTCAGTCAATACGAGATAGTAAGCAGGAGAACGTAACAGCCACATGTACGTGAAGAGACAAAGTAAAAGCTCCGTAGTCCTTCTGCTACACACGCCCCAGTGTATCAATGTACCACATGAATATTGCGTTATTATCGTATGGGTTTGTGATATAGAGGAACAAGGGCTTGGGCTAAGACTTTTCACCGAGAAGCACTGATGACCCCCACATGTGAAACATTTATTTTGAAGGACACAGTAGCTGTATTTCGGGGTAACTATTGTTGTAAAAAGCTTGACCAAGTAAATTGGCTTGTTTTTATGACATTTCTGTACGATTAGCTATAATACTATAATGGACCGACACCTGCAGGCTCCAGGGGAGAGTTGTTTTATAATGATTCATATATAGGCTACTATTAATATTTTGGTTCACAATATAAACATTGTCCTAGTATTTAAAATCATATGACGAGCATATTAGAACATAATAACACTTGGCACATCTTTATTGTGCTGTAACATAATAGATATGGTTTATTTTTAATGTACAGCAGTCAACCTTATTTTTACAGAGATGCTGTTCCCTGATTGCTCAACTAGATGGCACTGTCCTGCATGTTTTACTGACCCTTGAGCAAAGTAGATTGTTAAAAAAAAAACAGGCATCTTATAGTACTGTCCATCTTCAGAAACAGACAAGATATTGTTGGATGTAGTTTGATTTATTTTCAAATATAAAATCAGAGTAAGGGTGCAGAGGCTCTCAGCCTGCTGGTTCAAAAGTCAGTGTGTAGATATGAATTGACAGAGCTCACAGTGACTTCTTGACTTGAGATAAGCTTGTCAATGCAGATTCATGGAGAAATGAGACTTTGGACCCTCTTCAGTCCCAGAGTGCTCCTTTTCCAGTGGCTGCAGCAGGTCGGGCGCGTGGCTCTGTCCTCTCTGTGAAAATCATGAAGATCGATTTTGCCCCGTGGCATGTGCCCCTGAACAGGAGACTGCAGACTGCTGTGACGCTCGTGTGGGTGTTCTCCTTCCTGGCTTTAGGTGAGGTTTGGTCTTACAGTTTACTAGTGTACTAGGCAATTTCCCAGTGTGCTAGGTAACCTCATGTTGTACTTGCTTATACAGTTTGTATGCTCTCTCAAAATTCTTAAACTTGGCAAGAAAGATGGCAATCAAATATAATGTTATTCCATAATTTAAAACCCTCCTGCTTGTTTCCATAGAAATGTCTTTTGTCTGCAATCTCCATGTAGAATGTTCTGAAGTATGGTTTTATCTTTATTTCTATAGAATCATGCAGTTGCACCTCAATAAATTTACTTACTGTAGCTTTAATAATACACAATTACACTCTAATAATATTTCACTCAATATTTTGTAACTAATATCATATATGCCTTGCAGTTGCCTTTTCACTACCATATCTTATTTTAGTTCCTTATATGAAGAACATAGTTTAGACACTTTTTGCACAAATTAGTACATGCTCATTGTTAACGTTGAATACAGTGTCTAAATTTGGAACAGTGCTTGCAGCTGTATCCACTTCAATTAAAGGAGATTGCATCAAGTTCTCACAAATAAACTCACATGGGTCTAATTATGATGGTGTCTTATCTAACTGAATGCTATAATCCTCACTTCTTCTGTTAAAGGTGTGTTGTGTAACTTTTCTGGTGGAGGGTCCGTCAGATATTTTTCTCCATGGAGATGTTATTGCTCTGACTGGAAAGTTTCACAGTATGACTTTCTATCTTCATGGAGACCAAACCAAGTTACAGTTCAGTTCTCACAATCACAGTCAGCATTTTTCTAGGTATTTTTGAGCTATAAATCCAGCTGTAATTGAACAAATGTAAAGTCGAGCAGTTTGAGGTCATACTGTGAAATAAGCAAGTGACAGACCCCTGACAAAAAGTTACGTAATGCACCTTTTGAAATATCATGTTAATAATAATAATGCTTATAAATCTCTCTTTTAGCACCCCTCTGTATCTTCCTCTTCTTATACCTCCTATTCACCCGGTATTGGTTGATCAGTGTGCTGTACGCCATCTGGTGGTTCACTGACTACGACACTCCATGGCGTGGGGGCCGCAGGGTGCCTTTCCTTTGTGATCTCAAACTATGGGACCACATGCGTGATTATTTCCCCGTCAAGGTAAGATCCTAACATACACTGCATTATAAGAAAGTCATATGTAGGGCTGGGCCATATGGTGATAAACATGTATTTGGTGACAACAACAATCTGCAATTTTGGTAATATCCCAAACTTCAATGTCACTCTATGCACAGTGTTCCCACCCACACCTCCTAGTGGTCCACCTCAACAATGCTTTGAGTGATTGACAGATGGATTTAACCAATTAAAATCTTTCAGAAGAAGCAAAAAGCACTCTACCTGATTTTTACTCTCATAAAAATGTGAAAACATAAAGTTATTCCTCATTTACCTTATGCATTCTAAGCATCCTAATTATTGAAAGTGATGAGTTTATAAACACTTTTTACAGAGACCGAGACAAGAGATTTTCTCTGATGGCAAAGGTAACAACAACTAGCATACTAACCCGCACTTTCTCATTATTAGACAGGAAAATGCTTTATAACTTGATGCAGACAGCACACAGTGGCCTTATTTTGACCTCAAGAGCTGCTTATACAATATATCTGTACTCGAAATTTTGCTGTAATTCATGGGGAGAAATTGGAAATTGGATACGATATATATATTTTAGATTATCACCCTCTTCTAGTCACATGGCCAGGGGCAGGTATAGGTCTATATGTCTACGCAGGTCAGAGAAGATCAGATCATGCTTTCAGCCCCAGTGCATTTAATCTAATCTGTGATCTTTGGGAGGAGCTTATCTCTGGGTGCGTTCACACTTGGACTTGGTTTGATCCTTTTCCCGTTTTGGGTCCTAGTCCAGCCCTGGTTTAGTTCCAGGTTTAGTCTCAGGTTAGTCCCAATCTTGATGAGGTGAATGTGCGAGTGTGAGTCATTGTGACCAGACTAGCTATCATGTTTTTTTTTTGTTTTTTTTTTTTTTTTTTTCCGTTATTGTGTAGTAATGTATTTTCTTCTGTCATTTGGTATAATCATTAATCATATTACAATAATTTATGAAATAACACAAACATTACACCTAATACTTTGGCCATTCTACAGACTGGAGGGGTTTAGGCTGATATTTTACACTCATTTCCCCTATTCCTTTTAACATATAGAATAATATTTAAAGCAAGCAAACATTTATTTATACAACATACGTATTTGGAAGCAGAGGAGAAGAGTTATTTTGTGGTTCCAAGTGTAGGGCAAGCAAAAAAAGTCATGCAGTGCCACCAGTGAACTGTGATTAGGTGCTGTATGGTGCAGGGTCATATTGAGTAATCTCCTGAAAATGTTAACTCTTTGCTTAGGATGTTCCACCATAAATCTTATCTGTCTTGCCATTATTGAATTACACTGTTCAGGTTTGAGATCAATCATACTGGCCAATCTGTTGGACATTTAGCCTTAGACTTAGATGAACTTCATTGATCCAGAAGGGAAATTATTTGAACACATTTCATACCTATGTGCTTTTGGAAAAATGAATGAAAAGAAATCTAACTTTGTATTGGAGATTGCAATACATAACTTAAAATTGAAGTGAAAAGGTTGTCTCTTAATTTGCATACAGTGTAATAAAAGTATTAAGAGCAGTGGTAAGGGTAAAAGTTATATTAGTAGTATTTGCTATAGTTTACTACTGTATATAAAACAATACACTAAGATTTAATTGTATATTTTTTGTATTTAAACAGAAGAAAGTACATAATAAGTACATTGTCCTTTTTGGGCTTGAGGCAGAGACAGTGTGACTTCTGTTGTTGATGTCATTTGAATTGTGAATTTTTAGGAATCTTATGATGAGATAACCTTTTGTGGCTCTGGTCATCCAACTATTTACAGTGCAGTGGTCATAGTGAATCTGCAGACAAAGGATGTATACAAAACAATGAACCCAAAAGTCATAGTTGTAAAAGGGGGAACGCCAATCATTAATCTAATCACATTCACAGATTTGAAATGTTTTAAAGCAACTATCAGTGTTGATGTTTTGTCTTGAAAAGGGAAAGGGGGGCAGATAACATAAGATGACTCTTCTTTCTGCTCCTTTTCATTCATTTCTTGTATGTTTGATGTTGTGAAACTGTTGATGTCTTTTTATACTTTATGAATGAAATAAATAAACTACTACTACTACTACTACTACTACTACTAATAATAATAATAATAATTCAAGCTACTTTTTCATATTGATAGATATTTCAATGCCATTTAAAATAATATAAATTGTCTTTTAAATTTCGAATCCAGCAATTTTGAATACAGCATTTGTGTCCACCTTGTGGTTACTTGTGGGAGGTGCATGTAGCTGGTAAATTTATAAAAATGAGATAAAATAATTTTTGATAATGACATACATTACTGACCAGAAGAACAGATAGTCAGATAGTTCAGATCAGTATATAAAATGAAAAGCAAAATTGTTGAAAATATCTAACTAAGTAAAACCCCAGTGAGATTGAAAATATGCATCTAATTTCTTAATGCAATATTTAAACACACATGCACACTATAGGTACAATATTAACAAAAGATTGATTATTAATTATTGATCATTGATTTCTCACTCGGCTATGCATTTTGCTTGCAGCATATGTGATAGTTTTTAGATCTTAAAAGCATGATGAAGTTTTAGCAAAGACTGAAAGGAAATACAAGCCCTTCTGTTCAATAAGACATCATAGCTGACATCACTGCATATCTTCTCTGGAATGTAAGACGTTTCAAGCTTTTTTTTCTTCTTCTTCAATTTTGAAATATTACAAAACAAAAATAAAAATAGACAAAAAAAAACAAACAAACAAAAAACAAACAAAATAACAAACTGACACCTCACCCTTCTCTCTATACTTAAAACATGCACAAAACTATACAAAACAACTAACACAACAATCAAATATCAGCTGACACTCAAGCATAATCCTGCCAAAATGGTTTCAAGCTTTTTTTTTATTACAATAAATGTGTATTAATTTTTTCATAATGTTAAAATAAAAACAGATTAGAACTAAAATAAAACAAAAACAATGAGGTGTAACACTGAAGACAAATAAACATTTAAACAATAGATTTAAACAAAAACTCGCTCACATCTTAGTCACTGTTTTGCTCTATATCCTCTTCAGCATCCTTTTGAGTCATCCTTCCCTTACACATTTGCAGTGTGGGAGCATTAGGTTTTGTCTATGATTTTAAAATTTAAATAATATCAAAAAATTGGTTCTATGTTACCAGCCAAAAATGTTTCTCATATGTTTGCTCAATAAGACTTTTCATAGTAATTACTAGATCGACTCACTGTTCACTAAATGATAGATGAAAGAATCGTGTTTGGGGGTTCAGTATTTATCGTGACCACTTTTTCTTTGTACTAAAGGAGAATTTTTGCTATTTTTCTGTACCACAATCAGATTTGAGCTGTAGAATTTTGAATATATGTCTTCTATTATTCATTATAGATGGAAACAAAAGTGTAGTGCAGCTCATGTTTTTACCAGTATGGCTCATGTAGGTAAGGTTTTACTTGGATTATCCTGCTTTAGGGTCACTGTGTCAGTTGTATAAATTAGTTTTGATATTATTGTTTATTGTAGAGAAGGTTTCAGTGGTGGTCATTTGGACACAGTTTTTGCAGTCAAGAAGTTTTGACTTTAATGGCACTGACTTGAGGTATTAGGATTTATATTATTCTGAGTTGAAAGTGCATTTTGGAACTTTTCTAGTGGAGAGTCCGTCAAATGATTTTCTCCATGGAGATGTTATTGCTTTGTCTGGAATGTTTCACAGTATGCTATTGAACTTTTCTATCTTCATGGAGACCAAACTGGACCAAGTTACAGGTCAGATCTTTTTACAATTTCTTTTGTGTGCTATAAAACCATCAGCAATTGAATAAATATAAGTCAGAGCTGTTTAATGTCGATTGTGGAGGATTCCAGATAGAGCAATATCATATGCATAGAAGCAAGCAGGTGATGGACTCCCAACCAAAAAGTTACATAGTGCACCTTTAACTAAGTCCAGCCCCAAAGTTAGGAGTTTTAGACAGTAATTTCCCTCAATAAAGTTTGTCTAAGTCTAAGTCTAAGAAACTGACCTGCCCTTGTTTACTAGTGAGCATTAATATTAGATGTTATGCCCCTATTGATGAAACAACCACGCCTGGACAAGTGGGGAATTAAACCATTTCGATTATTGTCTATATTTTCCTCAGCAGTATATCTCAAACAATCTTCAAACTGTGCTATTGTGACAGGCTGATGCCCAGATAAGGTGTTTGTTTGTTTGTTTGTTACATTTTTCAACATTTAACTTGAAGATAATGCACTATATCCAATTGCCTTTGCATACTGTATGTATTTTTGGTTAGTTTTGGTTTTTACTTTTCAAAAAAAGCAAAAATTGGTTATGGTATGGAGTAAAGAAAATTGTGCTGGATACATAACAGCTCACCATTTTAACACTAGATTATGATGTAGCTCATGTTTACATCCACATAGTTAGTTTTGATTAAGATCTCCTGATTCGTAAAGTATAAATAGGAATTATTATTATTATTTTAGAATGACATCTAGAGCGTGCACTATGGAACTTTACTAGTTTGGGGTCTAGAGATGGTATTGCTTTGCCTGGAATATTCCACAGTATGACATTAAACTTATCTATATCCATGGAGACAATCAGGAGGTGCCACCAAGCCAAGTGACAGGTTATATCTGTGGAGAGGTGACTGTAAGAATGCCTGATTTTAAAAGTATTTTTCAGCAATACACCTGCTCCTGTAATTGAATAAATGTATATGTTACCATACTGTCGAACATTCTGGGCAAAGCAATAAAATCAGATCCTTCACAAGAAAAGCTACATAGTGCACCTTTATTAAAACTAGGTCTTTGCGATGGTGACACATAAGTCCTTTCAGACAAACGTCCCAGGATTAAGAAATAACCTCTGGACTGTAAAACCCCAGGTTAAATGTCTGCAGAATGAAAAGTGGGCCAACTGAGTATAGCAGCCAGAACATGCGGTAAACAATCCTCTACAATAAAAGCTGGGCCATAAAATTAAAAAAGGCCACAGAAGGGCAGTAAAGAAATAAAACTAATTGTACATTCAAAACGCTGTGTGTAATGTGGTGTAATAAATAAAAATAAAATTAACATTAATATTCAAATTGTAAAGTAGTTTAAAGGTGCAATGTGTAACTTTCTGGTGGAGGGTCCATTACCTGAAGAATCTAGAATCTGACCTGTACAGAGAAGGTTAGAAGGTTCTGGCTGGTCAGGCAGTAAGTTTAATGCCGTACTATGGAACATCTTGAAAATGAAGAAGCAGATGAATTTTAAATGGTAAAAAATTATGTAAATAGCACTTTTCTATCTTCAAGGGTACAAAGCACTTTCAAGGAGCCACTCACCCATTCACACATATTCATACACCAGTGTACACAAACACTGGGGGCGAGGTGGAGAAAAGTGTCTTGACCAAGGACACAATGACAGCAATTATCTTGGAGATGAAATTGCACCACCAACCTGTGGGTTAGTGGATCTGACTGCTCAACCAATGATGTTTATGTCAAAATTGGGAATTGAACCGCACAAACTTCGGATCAGTGGACAAACATATGGCGGACCCTCCACCAGAAATGTTACACAGTGCACCTTTAAATTAGTGTAACTTGCCTGGTTCTGTGCACGTCATTTGCAGTATCATCTGACTGTACGCTACGTTAAGTCAAAACAAAGAGTCAATGTAAGGCCTAAGACTTGCTGTGTGTTTTGAAGAGTGCGGTTTGTTTCATTGGTTTGTCTTTCCCACCGTCTCTAATTTCACAAGAGTTCAAACTTCACCAGCCGATGTTCGCTCGCTTTAGACTGAACGTTTAGTGTTCAGTGGGAGTGCATGTTGAGAAGAAATTTATATACTTAATTAATATTCTTTGAGTTTTAATCTTTTGACCAAATGGATTTTAGTGTCAGTCAAGATTTGTCTTTAGTTTTTTTGTTTTTTTTTGTTTTTTTACTTTAAATATTTATATTAACTGTTTTATGTTGCACCATATCACCAAAGTAAGTTCCTAGTTTGTGAACTTTTTCTGATTCTGAAAATGTCATGCAAATTTAGTTGACTAAACCCATAATAGTTTTTTCAACTAGAATTGCCCTGGGAGTAAATCAGTGTAGGATCGCCACTGTACATACTCATAGATTGTGTCCTTATAATTTTTTTTTTACTTTGACAAAAACTATAACAATATATTTTGGTAAACAAAATGAACACTGTAAATTATAGTTGTTTAAGAATTAAAGTAGTTAATGCCTATAGGACTGCCCTTGAGTATGAATGAATAAAATACATAAAGTTTTATCTTAAGGGTGCATTCACATGTTTTTTTTGGTCTTAGTTTTAGCTTAGCTTCAGTCTAAATATATTTGTTCCAAAATTATTATTATTATATTAACATATTTGTTTACTTAGCTCCTTATAGTTTTAAGACACTATCCATACTCTAGCCTAAATAGCCCGGTAATCAGCATCATGTTTGGTACAAGTGGACATTGGCTCTGATTGGTCAGAAAGCACTTTCGTTTATAAACACTTTTGAGGCTCATTCGACTTAATTATTAACTTAAGGTAATTTGCATGTTCCTCCAATGCAAACAGAAGGAAAAAATGGCATTTGTTTAATAAAACCTGGTATTAAGATGCACAGTGTTATAAAATGGTATAGAAATGTAGAGGATATGATAATGAAGACCACATCACAGATAAATGATAATAAAAAGTTGTTTAGTTTCTATCAGCAGGTGTGGTGGGTCCTGCACAGAGGTGTGGTACTGTAGGAGCATGATGGCCTCACTAAAAGTCACAGTGCTCTCAAGTCAAATCAACAACAACAAGCAAATCTTTACACTGACCTATAGTGACTCTGACCTAGATATTCTCTCAGCCAATCAGAATATGTAAACAAATCCTCCACATGGCTATTTACTGTCATCATATGTATTCATTTATTAACAAAGTAGTATTTAAACAATTTTACATTGACCACAAATTTCTATATATTTTTTTATTTTCAAGGTTGTGCCAATAGAGAAAATGATACTACATATATATTGTAAGCAACAGAAAAGCACTTTTCTCAAAAAGGAGTGGGAAGAAGAAAAAACGTACAACCTACCCCTGTAGAAAATTTATCAGGCACCTAATATAAGATACTTCTAGTTAAAGGGGCTTTGTGTAATTATTCAGGTGGAGGGTCTGTCAAACGTTTTTCTCCATGGAGATGTTACTGCTTTGTCTGTAATATTTCACAGTATGGTAAACCTTTTTATCTTCATGGAGACCAAACCAGACCAAGTTACAATTACAGTGGTCATTGTGATCTGAGCTCTAAAGATGCACCAAACCACTGTGCCAACTCAAAGAGCGATCAGTGACTCACACAGAACTGCAACAGTGTAGTTTGGAGTTTAATTATTGGTGTTTTTCAGATTATGTCATACTCCCAGATGGGGGCAAGAGACAGTTTTTCCTATTGATTACATTGTACTTCAATAAGAAATACCTAAAATGTAAAACCTGTGTCAAATGGAGTCATCTGCATTTTAACTATATTAATTTTACCTGCCCCCATCTTTATTACATATTATTGGCCTACAGAGTCATGATGAATCATCTGAAACCCATCAGTAGCCAAAACTTGCACTTTGGTAGCTGTATACACTAAGTTGATCTTTCAGAAAGCAAACAGTTTGCAAACAGTTGACATGGGACCAATGAGTTCAGGAGATCAGGGGCACTGTTGAAACTACAATTTTAGCACAGTCGAACCATGCAGTATTTTGTATATACTTTTCACAAAAATCACATCAAATCTCTTTTACACAGCTGGTGAAAACAGCTGACCTCGACCCCAAACACAACTATGTGATGGGCTTTCATCCTCATGGAGTCCTGGTGGCTGGAGCCTTCACCAACTTCTGTGTTTACACCACCGGCTTCAGGCAGCTGTTCCCCGGCCTCACCAGTTACATGCTGATGCTGCCGCTGTGGTTCAGAGCCCCATTTTTCAGGGACTACATCATGTGCGGAGGTACCACCAGCCTGACTATACAGTGGTTTTACACAAGCTTGAGTTTGCCCTTGGCCTTACTTCACCCGCTTTCAACATCACAGGACTGATCCCGTCAGACAAAGAGAGTGCCAGTTACCCGCTCCAAGTGTGCCGCAGTGGGAAGGCTGTTGTAATCGCTGTTGGAGGTGCACCAGAGGCTCTGGATGCTCATCCTGGCACCTTCAATGTTCTTCTGGCCAAAAAGAAAGGCTTCATCAAAATGGCCATGGAGCATGGGTGAGAGCATAGCGCCCCGGGGGGAAGAGCTAATTCTCCTTTAACTACAGCTAATTCTCTCAACCCTTATGACTCAGTGCATGAATGCTTTCTGTAACTGTGTATTTAAAGTTACAAGTGGTTGAAGTAAAACAGAGGTTTATTCAGTCGCATACATAGAAATTCCTGGGAAAGCACATCTATGTTGTAATATCGGTTTAGAAAGAGAAAGCTATGAAATTCATAGTACAGGACATTCAAAATATTGTTAATCAATTTAAAACCGTGACAACTTTTTTCTCAGTGCTCATCTGGTGCCTGTTTTCTCCTTTGGGGAGAATGAAGTGTTTGATCAAGTGGACAACCCAAGAGGAACATGGCTTCGCTGGACTCAGGAAAGGCTGCAAGGCATTATGGGTATTTCCCTGCCTCTTTTCCATGCCCGTGGTATTTTCCAATACTCCTTTGGTCTCATGCCTTACAGAAAGCCCATCCACACAGTCGGTGAGTGGACATCACGACTTTGCTTAATGTGTTTCTAGTGATAATGAATTTCTTCATCATACCTTTGTTGATTTTGGCAATGGCCATTTTAATACACAAACTATTACAGTCCCTTTCATCAGGTTTTAAATAAACTCCTCCTCCACTGGCATGAAACACAAGTTATTGCAAATGATAAAGTAAACTGACTGTGCGTGTATTGTCCTGTCACCTTTGCAGTTGGGCGACCTATCCCAGTGCAGAAGAATCCCAGACCAACATCAGAGGAACTTGATGCCCTCCATCAGCATTATATGGATGAACTCAGCAATCTCTTCGAGAAGCATAAAACCGATTATGGTGTGGACAAGAACGTACATCTGAACTTTGTGTAAATGAACTCAATGACAAAATTATGCAAACTGTGAAATACTATTTTATATTACAAAAAAATATACCAGTAGTGTTGGGAAGAATACTTTGAAAATGTATACAGTTATAGAATACCAAATACCTGCTTTAGAATGTATTTTGTTGTGTATTCTGATACATGATCCAATCAGAGTACTGTATTTTGAATACTTTCACATTGGAATGAATTATCTAATAGTGTAAACAATACAGTATAGAATAGAAAATTTTAAATTAGAATAAAATTTGTTAGAATTAAAAAGTTTTATGTTTGTTGCACCATTTCTTATGCAATTATTTGTCACTCATTAGAGAAGGAAAAAAACACACATGTGCAATTAGACTTTTCTATTTTCTCACTATTTGAAGCTGATCACTCACAGTATGAAGCCTAAATTACATGATGAAATGTTTGGAAATTAACTGTGTTCCTAGAATGTGATTATGTCATGTTTCCAAATGGGGAGCAAGAGACTATTTTCCCTGTTGATTACATTGTATTTGCCATGAAGTATTCAAAAGGTAAATGTATAAATGATGAACCTGATCATTTCTATTATTGACTAGACCTAAAAACTCACTGAATTGATTTAATTATTGATTTTAGCTACTCTCTGTCAGTGTTAAATAATACTGCCCTATATAATGATGTGATGTCCTCTGAAACCCAGCAATACAGTTACTCACATTTTGTACTCTGTATACATATTTTCAGTTCATGTATTTAGTAATTTTCCCAACACTGTATATACTCAACTTTTTCTAAATCTCCATCATGTTCCTTCTAATTTGTGTTTTTCAAAGAGATTACATGTGTTCCTTTATCACTTTTCAAAAGTTCAGTTTTTGTAAATTGTTTTGGATAAAAGGAGTTACACCTGAGTGTGTGTCTAAATCTATTTCTTTATCACGTTGCATGTAACTTTACTCTTTTGGAGCTGGCCCTTAATAGATAGGACTGGACTTTGGCAGCCACTTTAATAAAAGGTTAAGAAATAATTGGACAATATCCCAGAACTTTCAACACGGTCTAAACTGTACACATGTGATTTGGAGAGAAGAACTGATGATTAGAACTACTTAGACATAGACTTAGACAACATTTATTGATCCACAAGGGAATTATTTGGTCAGAGTAGCTCACACATTGCAATAAATATAATAACAAAGAGCAAAAATATAAATGGTAATAATACATTCAAAATAAGTAGCAAAGATAGTAAGAGACTGTAAATGGATATGTACAAGTAAAAATAAAAATATAGTTAAAATATAGAAATATAGTAATACAAAATATATCTCATAAGGACAAACAGTGCAAAGATGAAATAATGATTGACAGGATATAAAATTTATTTATTTTATTTTATTTTATTTTATTAGTTATTTTACTGATACCAGGCTCAGGAAAATTAAGCTTATAGATAATAATGCAATAAAACCATATGCTTTTTAGTTTTTTATCATATGTCATAACAGCATTTGTCATAATGGCAATAAGTTCCAACATTACAACCTTGATTGCAATACATGCAAAGGACACTCAAAGATGCTTTACAAAACAAATATTAAAACAGTCAAAAGAGGTAACAGAATCATAGAGAAAAAAAAGTTGAAGTCTATATTTCTTTGCAAGAGAAATGCATGCATTTCAATGAAAAGGTTAGGATAGGGGTCTTAATAGCTGTGCAGGACAGCTAAAGACAGACAGGTGACCACACGGTGCAAATCCTGTTATGAATGTATTAAAATAATATATAGTGACATAGCACACATTTCATTCTCTTTCTCTGCACCTGGCTGTGTTGTTGGAGTGACAGTTTGTTAATTTGAGCACTCTGTGTGAGGTCAGAGCACCAGTGTTATTGACTTATTTAAGGTGTTGGCCAAAGTACAGAGGACTCAAGGCCTGATTTCTCTGGATCCTATCTTATCTTTTTCTTTGTAACAAAAACAACAGTTCCTGTTGTCAAGGGATCCAATCATAAGTATTGTTTGGGTTTGGACATACAGAAATTTTTTCATCTTTAATATATTATAGAAAAATATTATATAATAATCATGTAGTCTATGTTAAAAAAACACAAATATTACAAACATGAATTTAACTGAGAAAATAGAAGTGGAAAGATATTTTAATGGATCATATGAACAAAGAAAAAAAGAAATCTGAATATATCTCTATATATTTAAATGTCTGATGATGCACTGCAAAGCATTAACCTTCTGCTTAGTTTGGAGGAAAGAGAATGCAAATCAAAGGGAGGCTACAATAAGAGAGTAGGCAGAAAAAAGTCACGTGTTGATGAACGTTAAAATAAATTAAGCAAGTTTAACTGATTTCTTTTGTTAAAATAAATATAAATAATAATAAATACATAACAAAACACTTTTAATTAATATGCTGTCAAAGTTGTCGAAATTTCTGTCACATCTGACAGAGCTCGTGGCCAGTTTTACCCTGTTTGACCACGTGACCTCAGCGCCCTTAAATACAGGGTCGCGCTGTAGCCGCACACTCACAGACCTCTTTGACCGTTGCTCAGCAGAGAGACACGGGCCCAGGGCCCTCACACACCTTTACTGCTTTACAGTGTGTACATCAGTGCGCAGTGGCCCCTCCCAGTCCCGCTTAAATGCATGGAGCGCCCTTCAGCCCAGCGCAGAATCATGAAGGAGCTGTAGGACGCCACTCTGTAGAAAGCGCACGAGCCTGAGTTTCTTTGGATCGGTGAGACTAACCAAGAAGCTTCAGCCATGAAGACTATCCTCGCTGCCTACTCTGGCGTCCTGAAAGGTAAGTACCACCTGACCTGGAGCTGAACCGGAACCGACTGACTTTTTTTTAGCGTTTAATGCAAATGTTGCTCCACAATCCAGTGTTATTATTGGAGATCTTTTACCAAATAAAAGCACAGTTTACTAGAAAATCGATGCCAGATTTATTAGGCTAAAACTCTGCAAACTTAGTCAAAACACTAGTTATATGAAATTATTAAATATAATAAAAATAAGCATGCATTTCTGCTAAAATCTGATGCCTAGGATATATAAAAAAATGAAGGAAAAATGCAGTTGGTCTTTAATATAGGAATCAGAAACAGATTCTACTTACAATATTATCAGTGCTTTACATTATTTGCAGATGTGTAGTATTGGCCTCAGTGACAGCTCTTGAACCTTGTGTTATCTACAGTCACAGCAGTCAAGTAAATAGATGTGGATCAATCATCTATCTTCTGAATGTTGACTATTTAATCATTTCTGGATAAAAAAATACAAAAAAAAGCAAAAAAACACACACACACCACACACATTCGCTGGCTGCTGCTGCACCTCCTGGACATCCCTCTGGCCACTGTCCACTCAGGTCTCCCAGGTCACTAGTTTGATTAACCCTGCTGTACTTAGACGAACCTGTGCTCACTGTGGTTGTCCATGTGGGTCAGTTAGTAGTACAGGCTTAAGCAGTGATAGCCTTTGGTTCAGAGGTGTTACCTGAGCCAACTTGTGATGGTTATTTTTGGCCTGTAAAGAGAGGATTAGAAAGGACTGTTTTCTTGTCATTATGAGCTGACACATGTTAGTTTGCATGTTGCTCTGAAGACTTCAACATGCATCAGGACCTTTATACAGTCTATGAACAGGACTAAAATACTCAAATATATCAAATGGATGCAAACTACTTTTATGCATGGATACTACCTAATTAACAACTTCTTTGTGGTACTAGAATGCTTCTGTGCAGATCACTTTTAGTATTCTAAAGCAATTGCATTTTTGACCGCATTTGTTTCTAATTGTTGTTGATATTGTAAATCTCTTTCTTAGGCACAGGCTCCAGCATCCTCTCTGCCCTCCAGGACGTGCCCACTGCCCTGTGGCCCTGCCGAGCCAAGATGGAGAAACATCTGCAGCTCATCTCTGTGCTACAATGGGTTCTAAGCTTCTTGGCTCTGGGTGAGGTTAAGCTTCTATTATATAACATATAAAAATAACATAACACTAAACATGTTGCATAGTCAGTTTTAAAATTTTGGTGATGTTTATAATTTACTTCATGGTTGGACACATGTGAACAGCAGATATGACATACATACAGGTAACTAGAGGTAACTTCATAACTATTACCTATAGGTAACCATACTATAATTGGCTATGATTTGACAAATAACTAAAACACCTTTAGTTATTTCAGTGAATCATGGAGCTTATGTGTAAAATGTGTCTGAATATTTTGGATTCCTTTTTTAGAATTCAGCCTTGCTTCCTATAATTTCCAACTTTTTCTTCCCAACTTTTCTTTACAAACTGACACTTGACTGATGTAAAACTATGGCAAATATTTACCACAGGTATTAACCCACCAAACAAAGTAATAATCACAAAAACATGTAAACCTGTCATGCATTTCAAGTGTCTGGGCGCCGTGTGTTACTTGGGTAAGCCGAAGCATGACAAGAAAGCAGCAGAGTTGGTGATTAGTCTCATTAGCCTCATAAGTAGGTCACATCGCTTGGCGGCATTTCTCTTTAATAATATTGTTGCGTATGGTCTTTGTTTGTTCTTAGGTGCTGCCTGCACCGTTCTGTTGTTTTACATGTTTCTCACTGATTGCTGGTTGATTGCTGCAATCTACACTGCCTGGCTCATCTTCGACTGGAACACACCTAAACAAGGCATGTATCATACCAAACCTGAAATGAGTATAGCATTTAATAGCTTCATATTAGGGCTGCATGAGCATAGGAAAAATGTATTTATTATTTTATTGACCAGTATTGCAATTATGGTTAGGGTTGCATGTTAGATTTATGTTTAAAACTTAACTTGACTTAGACTTACACTAAGACTTAGACAAACTTTATTGATCCTCAGGGGAAATTATATGGACTATTAGTAGTTCACACATCACATTATATTACAATAATAAAGAGCAAAAATATAATAATAAATTCAAAATGAGTAGCACAAAGCAAGAGACCAGTGTCAAATAAGGCATAATAATATAAATGTATATGTATAAATAAAAATAAAACATACAAATATACCAATTTATCTCTGCTGTATTCTAGAGGTCATAAGGAGAAACATTGCAGAGATGAAATAGTGATTGAATATGATGATCAGAACATATTTAAAAGTCTAAACGTACTAACTAAACTTTTTAATTACAGAATGTACCCTGTCAACAACAATATACTGTATTATTTAAATAATTACAGTCCTCATAATTTGACCATTGCACCTAATCCATTGGACATTTTTATTTGATTGCAATATATTGTGCAGCCCTACTTTGTATAGTGTACCTATGCTAAACGTATATCCAGTTATTCATAGCAAAACCTGTCATGATAACAAGTTTTGAAGTGCAGTGTATTGCTGAAGAATATATAGATGATAAAAATGATAAAATTTAAGCCATAAAATAAAATTGTCCCCCCAAAAATGTGCAAAATTATGAAAAAAGATGAGCTGGAATAAATCAATGGAAAAAGCCAACACTTAATTAGTGTGTATCTATAATGAATCATAGAAGTTCATATTTAAACCTTCAACAGCTTAAATATTCTCGTAACACAGACAAAAAAACCCTCAAATATCCTGTATTGAATGATAAATCAATATAGTAATTATCGTGACAGACCTAATCATAACTTTTATCGATGTCCATCTAAATTTGAGTGTTTGTATTATTTTTATTTTAGGTGGGCGAAGATCATCTTGGGTGAGAAACTGGACAATCTGGACTTACTTCAGAGACTACTTCCCAATTAGAGTAAGTAGACAGTTATTATGTTAATAGTCATTTCATAGTTTTCCCTTGATAGAAGCTATAAATGTATTAAAACCCATGGGATGTAATTGTGAAACAGTGAAAGGAAACTGTTTTCTCTTTGCACATCATCAATATTAACCCTTTAGGCTCATTGATTACCAGTGGGTGATAAGCTATCAAGCAGGTGGTGTATCAGCTGTATTCTTCATGCTACTCCTTGTCTTTTGCTGATTATTATAATGAAGACTTATGGATTTTAGACTTTGTCCCATCTGATAATTTCTCAGTTTGTTTTTTCCCTGCTTCATCAGACAATAACAAGACTGCTTATCAGCTTGAATACAGACTTGACTTGACTGTATACTTATGGCAAAAATGTTGTTGATAGTAATGATATGTACCTACTATAGACTGTGTATATAAATGGACATATAGCCATTCCGCTAGCCTCTACATTCCAAATAGGAAGTGAGCATGGGAGCGCTTCTGGCTCCATCGACTGTTTCCAAATGACTTTACATTAAAAAACAATCGCACCTTTCTGCAACTGCTGCAGTGAGCCTCATCAGTTTGTTTTTTATTTCGCTATTTTGTCTGTGAATCAATCCCAATATTAAACTTTGTTCCAAATTCGCTCTTAGAACTTTTAGCCTCATGAGCTTGATTTGACTGGTGCTGAACACTATGAGTGATGTCACACTCTCTTAGTCCACTTCTTTATACAGTCTATTTTACCTACATTGATATATTTGATATATAATGGAGTAAAGAGCCTGTCTAAATTTTAACAGTAAAATTAGCACACTGTTTGTTAGATAGATAAGAGTTTGTTCCCTACCATGATCGATCTGTTCCACAATGATCAACATGTTGTTGGTGCTTTGCCTATCATTTTTGATTTTGTGTCCCTTGTTAAAACTTCCAAGACACCACAAAAATATGTGAATAGTGTAAAATGGTGCACAAAAATGTATTAATGTGTTACTTTAACTTTAAGCCTGTTTCGTAACTAACTAAAAATGCACCAGTCTCTTCTTGTAAAGAATTGTTTTGAGTCGTAGGATCTTTCCGCATTATGCTCATTATAAGAAAGATTGTGTGGAGAACCCTAGGAAAAACATTTATGTAATTTCTGAGCGTATTAGCTGTAGCCAAAGAGTTTAATCTTAGTACTTTCATAAGTGTCAACAATTGCTCTGTCTATGTGTAGGTGTCTGTGTGGAATATTGATTGCAATCTAATAACTCACACTTACAATGCGCTTTACAGGCCTGTCAGATGCTGTCAACATGCTACCCTTTAGTCATTATTCATGTACTCCATTACTCAGTGCTAAAGTAAGCTAGGATTGTAGCCATAGCTGCCCTGAGGTAGACTGAGTGAAGCGAGGCTGCCATTCACCAACGCACACACCACATTCATACTCGGCAGTGTGCTTATGGTAAACGGGTGTAGCTCCAAGTTTTGGGCCCTGGGTACAAATCATCTTGGTAGGCCTGCACAGCTTGTCTAATGAAAAATGCCCATGACAGTCTTGTAAAGGGCCCCTCTCTGTGCCCCTGCACCTACCCTGGGTAAACGGTACCCTTTACCTCCCCAGTTGCTGATGGCAAAGTGCCTTGCCTAAGAACACAACAACAGAGCTTGATTTGAGCAGAAATTGAAACACAGACCTTTGGGGGCATGCTCTAACCACTGAGACACTGTCTAACTTACAGTCTGGGTTATGCAACAGTTTTATTTGAATAGCTACTGAGGAAGCTTTGTATACACATTGGAGGGGTGGTCCTTCTCCAGTTTGTTACAAGTAAATATAATAAAATCAAACAAAATCTCAAATTCTTAATTGAAAATATGTTTATTGAATAATGGTCATTTTCCTTTGCTCTTTCTTGTTTCTTGGTAAATTTGTGCTTTTATGATATGGGCAGAAATATTGAAGTAACAGTAAGTCCAAGAAACTTGCTGTTATTTTGCATCATTGAAATATATTTTATGGTACTGTACTGAACCAGATGGAGATAATGCGTTCAAAGTTCTCCATTTCAGCCACAGGTTCACAGCCTGTATACTGAGTGATACTGAGTCATAATTATGAGTGTTCTTGTGTTCATGCCACAGTGAACTGATAAGAATGTCCCATTTTCTCATTTTCCTGGCTTTTAAACTACAAAGCAAGTTGTGTGTTCAACAACATTTAAATATAATATTACATTTTATCTTTCAGCTTATTAAAACTCACAACTTGTCACCCAGTCGGAACTACATCTTTGGCTACCACCCTCATGGGATTTTTTGTTTTGGAGCATTCTGTAATTTTGGAACAGAAGCAACTGGATTCTCCAAAAAATTCCCTGGCATCAAACCTTCATTGGCGACTCTGGCTGGGAACTTCCGCATGCCTATACTTCGGGACTACCTGATGTCTGGAGGTGAGGGGATTCAAATGTCCAAAAATATATATAATTTTGGAAACCTTAGTCTTTGTTATTCAGGTTTAATGGGTAAGTAGTTCAGTTCATGTCCATGCATACAAAACAATTATTGCCAACAGATGTCCCAAATATGATGACATATAGTAAATACATTAAATAGGAGGAGAGAGTTAGGAGTGGTTTTGTAGTGAAGGTAATATGATGCAAGCATGATGAGAATGAGTATCTATGAAAAGATAAAGATAAACACTTCAGCTGTGTTTGTACGAGTAGTGTATGGAAGATTACTTAAACATGCAATGAAGACCTTTGTCCTGTTCCAGGGGTCAAACTGTGTAAGTTTGCATTGATCTGCTGATTTTACAGATTAACATTTACTGTTCTGAGGGCTTGTTTGCTCAGACTGTAGATGTCTATAGATAATGTACATGCAGAGTACTCAAGTAAAACTGTTAACTGACTTTTACAGACATTTTTTATTAAAGGTGCACTGTAACTTTTCTGATGGAGGGTCCCTCACCAGCTTCTCTCCATGGAGATGTTGCCTGGAATGTTCCACAGTATAGCATTACACTTATTTATCTCTAGGGCCAGATTATATGTCCAGTCTGTGTAGAGGCAAGCCCACTCACTCAGTCAATTAAAAAAACATGTTATTGAGTAAATGCAAGATGGATGTGTTCAATGCCATACATTCAAGATGAAGCAACAACATCTCCTTGGAGAAAAGCAGATGGCAGATCCTTCTCTAGAAAAGTTACACAGTGCGCCTTTAAATCGTTATTCTGCAATATTTTGACATATCTGTTCTTTTGCCCCATAGGTGTCTGTCCAGTGAACAAAAACTCCATAGACTACCTGCTGTCCTGTAATGGAACGGGGAATGCAGTCATCATTGTAGTTGGAGGGGCTGCGGAGTCTCTGGATTGTGCACCAGGAATGAATTCTGTGACCCTCAAGAATCGCAAAGGTTTTGTCAAGCTGGCCTTGCAGAAAGGGTGGGTACATAAACAACATTCACTTTTTTTTTTTTATTCACTTAATGGTGGATATTATAACACTGAATAAAAGTTCTCTAAAAATGGAAAATCTTGACACACTGTGAGTAGAAAGCCCAGACTTGTGAGCTGGTATTAGGCTACGCTCTCCCCTGTGGAATTTGTACCATAACAAAAAAAAACACAAATGGGCCTACTTTGTCTGGGTATTTTAGTAATCCAAAAAGCTTTAAACAGTTATCACCTTATGAACTATCACCATAAAGAGGATTACTGTTGATTAAAATGGATAAGACAGGAAGCTATGTTGAAAATGATTATAAATTACCATTCACAAAAAATAAATGGTGTTGTTGCTCTAATCATGTTTTAATCATGTACTTGTATTTCATTTCTCAGGTCTGACCTTGTTCCAGTCTATTCCTTTGGGGAGAATGATGCCTATAAACAGGTGATTTTTGAAGAGGGGACATGGTGGAGATCGCTACAGAAGAGGTTGCAGAAACTGTTGGGCTTTGCTCCCTGTGTTTTTCATGGGTGTGGCCTCATTTTTGGTGACTCTTGGGGAATTGTGCCTTATTGCAAGCCAATCACAACTATAGGTGAGTTGTTTAACTACTTCACAAACTGCATAGTAGTTTAGCCAATGTAAGATGTGATATTGCAATACTTCTTAATTTAAAACTTCTCTTACATCATGGTTGTTTTATGTTTAAATATTTATCTTATGCTTGTATTCATTACAGTTGGGGAGCCAATCACTGTGCCTAAAATTGAAGATCCAACTGAAGATATGGTAGATTTGTACCATTCAATGTACATCAAGTCGCTCCAGTGCCTTTTTGACAAGTATAAGACTCGTTTTGGCCTTAAGGAAAGTGATGTTTTGTATATCCAATAAGAAAGGACTGACCCTGCAGAGAAAATAACTGAGCCATTATAGTATATGCCTTTATCCGTTTTCAAGGTAGACTTTTTGGATTGTACATGGAATGCACATTCTAAAATACTCTGAACTTTGCTCTCATAGTACACAGTATAACCATGGTTTCTCTTGGGAGATAACAAAGTGGGAAATCTAATAGTGGGATTGCTTAAATATATTTAGCCCTAACTATTTTCAGTTAGTATTTCAAGTGTTTCTACTCTACGCAGAACATTAAGCTGTTGTGTGCAGTTTGCATATAATCTGTTAGAGGGCACTCAAATGTGATAAATATTTCTAAGTGCCATTTTTCTCATGCATCTACCATAAGCTCTTATAGTAGAAATGCTAAAAAGCACAAGCAATGCAATGAAAAATATCATTCATATATCAAATTAACAACTAAATGTTAATTATGAATACACATGTGCCTGTGAATATATATTGCCAAGAAGTATTAATTGTATTCTTTGAAATGGAAAAAATGCCACTGTGCTTGTTCCATTAATATAATGCACTTTTGTACTACTGATGACTTTCACCAAAGGATTTTCGGTTTAATCAGTTGCATTACCAGAACATTGTCTAGGTTGGCCTTTTGGCTACACGAATGTCTCAGGTTTGGCTAGTTTTTGGCAGATTATGCTGTGAAGGTAATTATGTAACCAAGATTTGTCCACATTAGAAAGTATTTAAAGTTTAGGTATGGAAGAAATTGGAAGGAGCCGTGTTGTGACAGTTTATGCTGGTATGAAATCACTCTGTGAAAAATATGACCAAAATCGAAATTATTTTTAAAAAGAGGGTATTGTTATATCCAGAAAATCAGGTGCAATACTGTGCAAGCAATAAAGTAAAAAATGGATTGCCATATTTGTTCATCAGTATTTAAATTAAACTTTTGTACATTTTCAGAAAGTTTGTGTCCTGTGGCCATGCTTTTGTGTTATATTCTGACAAAAAATATAGTAAAAACATTTAGATATATTTAGATATAATAAAATCTAAACCCTGAAACAGAAGACCATAACCTAATGATGGGAAAAAAACAAAAAACACTCACGTTTACTTTAGTGAGAAAGTCATATTCTTGCCAATTCTACCCCCTTGTGGTCATTTAATGTGTGTAGTATTTTTTTCTTAAAGAACCTGATAACAATAGCTCAAATTATTGTAGAATAAAATGTATGAAAGAATGCTTGGTTCTTTTAGTAGTCTAATGGCCATTATTATTATTTAGCAATAGTAAGTATATAACTGTTTACATTTGTTGCTATAGGCTTTTTTCTGTTAAAGGTACACTATGCAACATTCTTGTTGGAGGGTCTGCCACCTGCTGGTCTAAATATCAAACAGTATGGTATTAACTATATCTGTCTCCATGGAGACAAGTAATTCACACAGCCAGAGCAAGATGCAAGTCAGCTCTGTGGAGATGTAACACAGCTTGCAGTCAAAATGCATGTCTTAATATTTTTATGCAATTAAAAACACCTGCAATTTAATAAAAGCAATAAGCAAAGCAAATCAAAATACGTTTAATGCCACACTGTAGATCCTTACGGGCAAAGTAATGGACACCAACGGGTAGTGGATCCCCAGCAGAAAAGTTACATAGTACAGCTTTAAGCATGAAAGCGCCGGATACACTCTGGTCATCCGCATGTCACGCTGTTGAACTACCCGACTTCCTTGTATTCTGCAGCTTTGACAGATTTGAAGAACACCGCCCCATTCAAAAAGATAAACAGATATTCTAACCAATGAAAATACGGTAAATTACAAATGGGCGGATCTGCTGAGTGACGAGCATTACATTGAGCCAATCACCGATCAGATTGAAGGTTGACAGTTCCGGGAGAAGGATTTCCGAGTGAACTGTAGCAAAGAGCTGTACTTTGTTTACGTCCCCCTGGTTAGCTGACAGCTGCTGAGACTCTCAGGCCAGTGTACAGCTTGACTGTCTTTCACACCTCAGGCTTTGGTGACTTTACGCGCAGAACCAAGGAGCTGGCATGGCATGTTTAGTTGAATGAGGAGGCGACGCTAGATGCCGACAGGAGGATGAACTCCATCAGTGGCCGGGTCCTCTCCATCCCCGCCGCCTCTGTCACCAACTCTGGAGCATCCTCTTCTCGAGCCTTACATGTGGAACTTACATCTCAACAGGTACACACGCTCATCCCTGTCAATGTCTACGTATTGCACTTTGAAATGCACCCTTTTGAGTTTGTGTATATTGCAAACTGCTGCTTTGAGGAAACACGGCCCTGTCAAACAAGCTAGTAGATTAGCATAGCCAATGCTAAGTGAGAGTAAGCCCTCTCTTATAAAACAAGTCTGATTTTTAGCAAATCAACTGTAAACCAGTTGACCATATATTTGCTTCTTGCACGTTACTGAATAGCATTGTAGGTTTCTATTGCACTTGTCTTTTCAAATGTATTAGACGAAGCTAACACTAGGTAGTATGTTTTGCTAATGGCTAACTTTAGTAAGTGCACAGGTGACGGCAGGAGTTGTGTTCATGTCTGGATCATGTAGCCAGTTTTTACATTACTTTTATCGTCAGATGTAAAAACAGCCCATGTTCATTAACTGACAAGTGTGAAACTGAGTGTATGACAAAAGCAGCTCCACAGCTCCCTCACACAGGCCTGAAGCAGCACCTGTCGCACTTACACTTAAACCTGCACATAGTGCATACAACATGCTCATTATTACAGGCACGTAAATCCTACCCTAACATTAGAACTGCACCATGCAACTGTTCTGTGGAATGTTCCACCATGTGGCATTATACTTCTATCTTCCATCTTGCATTTATTTAATTGCATCTTTTTATCGCTAAAGATAATCCTTGAAAAACAGGCATTCTTACTTTGAGTGGGATCACCTCTCCACGCATCTGACTTGTAACTTATGTCTGTCTCCATAGAAATGGATATGTTTAATGTAATACTGTGGAATATTCCAGGCACAGACATGGAAACAAGCAGGTAGTGGGCCGTCTACCAGAAACATTACATATTGAATCTTTAAGATGTGTAGCCTGTGCTCTTACTGATTTGCAGCTAAACCTTCCAGTGTGTCAACCTGCATATAGCAGACACATACAAGTTCTCATTTCCAGTATATGGACTGGCCTCAGGTGAAAACTCAGATTGTCTAGAATTCCCTCCCTAAGCTGCAGACGCTGCACTAGCACCGATTCATGATACAGGTGCCGCAGAGGATTCAGATCAGAGAGTCCTTTAGGTTTCACAATTGAAAATGGCAACTCAAATTTAAGACTGATGTGAGGCCCAATCTGCTTTCTGATTGGATAATCATCTTGAGAACCAAAACACTATTTTATTTATTTATTTATTTTTTGTAGCTATGAATAAATCAACATTACAGTTGTTATCAGTAAAATTATATATGATTATATCTGGTGACACAGGCAGTGTTAATACAATTTTAAACATAATTTTGACATTCATAGTCTTGCTTTGTTTTGTGAATTATATCTTATAATTCTATAGTTATAGTCCTTTGTGTTAGAACAGGTATGCATATAATTCATGTTTTATAAGTCATTTACCTTTGGCCTTGGTATAAAGAGTGCCGTATTAGCTGAAGTCAGAATTTCTGCGGTGAAGTAAATTATGAGTTGCTGCTTTGTTCAGTGACACATTTTTATCCCGGTTCCATGTGGTCTACATCACATTGTTTCACAAAGAGTAAGTAGAAAAAAGTTTCAAAATACTCAATAAATTAAAACCACATTTGTACTTCATATTTTCATAAACAAGTGCTGCAAAGACAGAGTGACAGTAAAAATTTGTCAATGTTCAATGCAATCTTATTAAAGATATAAAAAGCACATAAAAGCCAAACCATAAAATATTTCTTAATCTTAAGATTCAGGTGCAGTTCTTTTCTGAACTGACATTATATTAGTCCGTTGTATCTCTCCAGCCATGCTTTTACATTCATCACATACCAGCCATAGTGAGTAAACTTGTGACCTGCTAATCATTTTGTTACACTTTCAAGCCACAGGAAAAAACTCACACGGAAAGAGCTTTGATCTAGTCTCTTCCCTATCTATCTATCTGTTTATTTATTTGGCATAAGATCCAGCTCATGTTTTACTGTAGAGTAAAAAGACCCATTTGGAACAATCTGTGTTTTTGTTTCCACCGTTCTTAAGCTTATAGGGAATCCCATGACTCAGATTTAGTCTCAGTATGGCTGCAGACTGTGCCGAGGGCTGGATCTGTTTCAGTTAAAGAGAGCGGTTGTGCCAAGGGTGCTACAGATCATGGGCCTGGCTCTGCACAATGTCTCCATCAGTGTGTCCATGTCTAATAAGCAGTGGTTTCAATTAGTGTAGTCACAATTCTCAAATTTCAAACTTCGTTTTGGTACTTAAGAAATAGACTTGATACTGATGCCACAGTGATAGTAAAACACTTTTACTTTACAACATTAAGTAATAGTACTTTCTTTTATATTACCATGTCTTATAAATGTGTAATCCCTCAGTCATCCAGTTAGGTTCCATAGTGGTCCATGGTCCAATGAATTAGACTTTTTTTGTCTAGTTATTAATAAATGATTTATGAATTAATATGTGTATTATTTTTATTTAGTCATTGGATTTATATAACACTTTTCAAGATATCCAAAGCACCTTACAGTGCAGTATTCATTCATTCCAAACTTAGTGGTGGTAAACTACTATTGTAGCCACAGCTGCCCTGGGGCAGATAGACTGAAGCGAGACTGCCAGTTTACGCCATCAGGCCTTATGACTAGCACCAACAAGTATATTTTTACTCATAGAAGTATAATTTCTTCAAAAAGTGACTGAGAACTTCTAGTCATCAAGTCCACAATGCAATATGGACTTTTTCTGTTGTGATGCAACATATTCTTTCTATATGTGATCAATGTGGTTCCAGATTGAAATTATTCGTTGCCTTTGCTAAATTGTCTGTTCTCCATTGATCATGAGTCACTTTGTTTATGTTAAATATAAATATATTTGTTTTCTCTCCGCTAGTAAAAGAATTTTTCATGTGACTGTCATGACAGAGCACCCCTCTCAAATTAACTGCTCGTTTATCTCTTGCCTGAAGACACTATTATCTGAGCTGCTGACGTGTTGCAATTCCACTTCCTGTTCTCACATTGCGTGCATTTTTTAACGGACATGGGCTACATCTGAAATAGGACAAACAATACTACATTCCTTCTCTTTTTCCTTGACCTTTGACCTCCGTTGTGATGTCAACAAAAAGGACCAAGAAGGTGTAAAGACAGAGCAGTGAGGATACTAATTGTAATTTTTTGATAAGCATTACATTTGCGATTAGATTTGCTGTTTTTATGCTTTTAAAAGATTCTGTTCAAAGTCGACATTTTAAATGCATCCAGAAAATATGAACTGACAAACTAATACAAGAATCACATTTCAGAACAAATGAAGTCTACAGGGTTAGCAGTTGTTTTGCAGAATAATTGGATATTTTCTTTGTGGTGAAAAGTATGGTGCTTAAAAAATGCAGCTAATGTGATTATTGAGCCCATTCAAATTCTGATTTTGATTCAGTTGTGATTAATCTTAACTTTGTTGCTATAGAGACGACTTCGACATCTGCGGAGCATTGCAGCTCGAAACATTGTCCATAGGAATGGTTCTCCACTGCTGGACACGTACTTCACCCTTCACCTCTGTGCTGGAGAGCGCATATCCAGAGGTTTGAAAATCATCAAACGCAATATGGATGTCACACAAGGCATTTTATGCTTTTCTAATCCCATTACCTGCTTTTTTTCTCTTTCAGATTTTTATAAGAGTGAGGTCATTCGGGACTCACTGGCGAGTATTTTTGTCAATGAACCTTTTTCTATAAATTATATTAATAATTTTAGTCATCCATTTCATGTTAATCCTCTTATATTCAACATGTGTTGTTATAGTAGTATACGTAGTATAGTCTGCACCGTAAACAGGTTTCCACATAGAGTAAAGTGTGATGTACATGGAGCAATGCAGTAGACAGTTAGACAGTTTGGTTCACTCTGAATGTTGTGCTGACATGCATTATAGTTTCCTGTTTTTTTTTTCCTTGTTAACCATGTTAAAAATGTATTCATTGTTCTCTTATGTAATATCCACTAGTGTTCCTTAGTTTAGTATAAAATTGTCATCTCTTTGAATGGTATGATCTAATTCTGTGTTGTACGTGTTTACTTGTTTATCAGAACCCCACTTGGAGAAGTTTAGATTTTGGGATGTTACCGGACCTACTGGACACCTCTGTGTCTTGTTTTGTGGTTCGGATTTGGGGAGGCCAAGCAGAGCACTACCAGCTGCTCATTGAATGGAAAGTAAACCTAGATGGTCTCAGATATACAGGACAGCAGGTACTGCAAATACAAACATCTGAATATTATGTACTATGTGTTTTATAATGATGTTTTTCTTGCAATTTTTCAATGAACATTTTTGTCTCCATAGATTCGGTCTCGTTATCCAAATGAAATCATATTTGGGCTGAATGATGGCTACTATGCAGCTGACTTTGAGTATAAGGTACAGACTTTATCATTCTTATTCTATATATTTGTAAGCTTTAAACAATGCATCAAACAAACTGCTCTGTGGCATTTTCAGGACTCCTCAGAAAAGAAGAAGAAGAACAGCCTACTTCAGGTGGAGCAAACGTCCGTCAGAAACTCCTACAGTGTCTTCTCTTTGCTCAGGTATTTTAACTCTTCCATATGATCCAAGGCAACCTGACACCTTACCTCTGCTAATGTGCTTTTCTACCTGTAAATTATGATTAAGGCCAGCTATCACATCACGCAGAGTTTAAAGCTGTTTCAGTGAAAATGAACCTACAATTTACAATGAAATGTTCCGCTACAATGTTTTGGTTCACCACTAGATGGTGCCGCAGGAATTGCAAATGACAGTAATAACGTTCTTATGGCAATACTGACCAGAAAAGGAAAATTAACATGCAAGTTAATACAAACTGCTTTGAAAATATAAATATATATTGAGTTTATTAGTAGGTGAAATGGCATGTGTTTTCTCATTATATGACTTTCTCATTATAAGAAAAAGAGGAAAAAAGATAATTGGCTTTTATGTGTATGCCTGCACTTATGGATAATTTTTTAATCATCATCTCGAATGTCGGTGATAATTCCTGGCACGATAAAATGCTCAGAGTAGATAAAAAACATACTGAAAACTGCTGCTTGTGAAAATGAAATGAGCCTGTCAGTTATTTGTAATACACCTGTTGTCCACATGAAGGAGACAAAGCTTCACAAAACACAAAAAGGGAATTCCTTGAGATGAAAAAAAAAACTTTGCAGGTTTGGAATATGTTGACAAACAGGCTTGTTCTACACATAATATTTAAATTTAGAATGTAAATACTACTTTCAAACCCACAGGGCTTCCCTCAAGGAAACCCTCTGTAAAACAGTCTAATTACGCAGTGAATAAGTGTGTACTTTAAAGGGCCAAAATAGAACCAGAATAGGGCTGTGATCCTCTCATTAGAAGTATTATGAGGGTTTCCACTGCATTTTCCTTTATTTTGACAAAATAACATGCAACATAAGCTAAGAATAGATTTGTGAGCCTTATAAACATACAGAGTTCCATGTTTATGGTTCATCTTTTGTCTTGATGTTGGTCTTAACGGACCACGTGCACAGCTCTGTCCTCCTGCTCCTTTCATTCTGCTCAAAGGTAATATATGGGTGGTGTAGAGCTTTGCACTCTTTTCTCAATGTAACTATTTGTGGTACTAAAAATGTAATTTAGTTTACAGTTAAGTTGTAATGTGATCAGATAAAGAGACCTTGTTGTTTTAAATGTGTTATATAAATAAAATGACTTGTTTTAGGGCCTTTCCTCAGGTGATTATGTTTATGTAGGAAACTATAACAAAAAAAAGTACAATAACTCGATCAAGCTTTACTATGCATCTATTTGTATATCCCAGTGTTGCTTTGACACCTCTTCTCACAACTGTCTCAAATCCTCAAACTCCTGAACCCAAATATCATTTTGACCCAGTGATGAGAGCCACATGCTGGACTTGTTTTCTGGCTGGCGGGGTCTGCATGTACAGAGGGTACAATATGTGTCAACAGAAGCAGAGTGGGCTCTGGGTGGGATTTCTTCTGGCCTCTGGGGTTTATCTGCCCAGAACACCTCCTGCTCTGGTGTTTTCACCTGCTGGTTCATAGACTGCTGGATGTGTGTTTTCTGGAGCTTGTGCAACAGTGATTTAATGCCAAAGCTTTTGTTCAATCTGAGGATTAGTTCGGATGTGCATGCTTTTGTTTGCATTTCACGCCTCTCATGTGGATTGGAAGTATTAACTGTACTTTTAACCCAAAGCCTGTCAAAGTAAACTGTCATCCGGGCCTCTTTTTGTTGGATGCATTAAACCACACTCTGTTGAGTACTAGTGCCTGTTGTATTTGCAGCCCGACTATAGCTGTCTTGTAGACCTTTTTTTCCCCTCTCGCCATCTTTTTGGGAAAGGCAAAAATATCTTTTCAGACTATGATAAACTTAAAAGAAAAACATTCATTGTCTAAATATGGATCTTTTATTTTTCTGTTGCTTTGCTGTAAAGCGATGTAATCCAGTGTAAAATGTGACACTACACCTAGATTACATTAGTTGTTTTCAGACACTTGTAAATGAAAGTGTTAATTGTGTGTGGTTTATTGTGCACTTGTGAACATAGTGCTAAACTGGGTGCTGTTATTTCACAGTGACTGGGTCTGTGCAGATGTATGGCCTTGGCTTTCCAAAAGCATACTTGTGCGTGCTGTCTTGTCTTCTTTGGCCCTCATACCTTTATATTATCTCTGTAATCCAGATGGCTCACATGCATGCACTGTGTTATTCAACAGGGATTGTGGTTGGTGAACCACAACATTTCATATTTATTTTCTTATATATTAGCAAGATGTTCGGAATAATTCTTTCTTGGAATATGTCTTTTCTTAGATGTCCTTTTAATAATCTACACAGCTTTTCCCTCATTTTGCAGCATTTACTGGGACCAGTGCATGCTGTTCTGTTCAGATTTGTATCAATGTAAATGCTTGACTTGTTTGTCTTAGTCACAACTTCCTGAATCAAACAGATCTCAGGTCCTGTGACAATGAGGGTCTCTGCAGGAGGAGCCAGGTTCAGACCCGAGTCCGCTTTGGTGAGCAGGAGTTTAGCCAAAAGGGTAGACATGCGTGAAGAGAAGAGGAGATAAATATGTTCACCTGGGGAAAGGCCCTATCAGATTCTGCTTTCACATAGACCTAAACAGTTGAAGCTGTCAAAACACAAATACCCTGATCTCAGATAAGAGTGAAGTTTCATCATGAGGAAATGTCATGATTCTGTTTGAATTATATTACAAAATGTGCCCTTGTGAGCATTAAGCCACGCTATAATGTTGTTTCCCCTTCAAAAAACAGCTTGTTTCATTCATATGTTTGAGTAACCTTTTTGTATTAGTCTGTCTACATCTCCAAATTTCAAAATTTTAAGTTTAAGAAACACAGTGGAGCACTTCCTGTATTACCTCATGACATCACAGTGTTTTCTTTCTCAGCATAAATATGCAGGGTTTCTGTGTTAAACATGTGTGAATAAAACAAAACACAACTAGGTATGTTTGTGATGAGGAAACAACATTATACCATAGATCAGAAAATGGCTTTGTATGGGCCCTTTAAATCTATCTAACTGGTCCTTAGCTCTCTCAAACTCAAAGCACGTAGTTGATATCCACATGTATTAAAGTTTGGGTGTTTGCACGACTTTAGAACAGCTTCTTTCAGGCATCTCATTTTGTACCAATGTGCACAACTCTTCAAAATAAAAAGTCGGATACCCCAGCTTTAATATTTCCCATAGACCTTGTTCAGGTCAAGCCAGATAAGCTGAGAATGCTATGTGAAGGTCTGTGAACTAAACAGACACTAAGATTTGTCAAGTTATCCCACTGAGCAAGTAAAAAAGACCCTGTTTAACCAAAGCCGCTGAAGGCTCAATTTATTTAGAACTTAATACAGGTGCATTCCAAAGGTAGAGCCCTTCTCATCACCTCTTTGACCCAGACTCCACCCCCTGTTTTGGTTTTCATGGAAAACAAAGGCAGAATCTATTAGCTTAATATTAATTATTGGTAAGGACGAAAAGAGTTCAGGACTGGAGGTGAGCTATATCGAAAAAACTATAATAATGCAATTGTTGTTTTGGAGATATGCACAATTAAATTATATAGGTTATGTAGATAATTATGTATATAATTACTTGACCTAAAAAGAGAAATATCTAGTGTAATGTCCTAAACAAGGGTGTAAAGTGATATTTCTGCCCTGTATGATTAATTTCATATTTTCCCATAGATTTGGTGAAGATTGTAATTTAATCTTTTCAGTATAAATGCCACTTACTGTCTATATTTAATCTTTAACCAGTCATTGTGTTTTAGTCATAGTTTTTTTTTTTTTTTTTTTTAAGATTTATGATAATACAATGAACAACAAGCCTAATTTTGTTATGCCAATATAGTCCAGGTTGTTTTTAGACTATTGAGAGAATTGTAGACTATGAAGGGCCCACCAGTCTCCTGCATTAATGGAAAACACTGATTGACGTTTTGTTTTGTCCAATACTTGAACCTCAACCAAGACATTTACTATAATTTGTCAATATTGTCCACCCCTATTCAAGACTACAAAATGAAATATTTGCCATTGTTTAGCCAATTTTCCCTGTGAAGTTTTGATGATTGATGTTTTTCCGTTGTTCTGTTTTTAGGCTTCACACAGCACAGAGAGCCATTAAGCAGACCCAAGTGACGGTGCAGAAGATCGGGAGGGAGATAGAAGAGAAGTTAAGGACAACAGCATCTTGCACAGAGCGGGTAAGCGATAAAAATGAACTAAAACAGCCTTGATAAGTTCTGTTCTCAAGAAAGTAATTCTGTAACAGCATCATTTTCTGTTGCTATTATGATCCCAAGGAGAAATGCATTTGAAATTGTGCAGTATCACAGTAGCAAAGTGTAAACTGAATAATCTTCTCCAATTTGAACTTAATTTACAAAATGCATGTTAAAATAGGAACTTAAATTGGGGTGATTATTTAAATTTCACAAAGCAAAGTCACAAAAATATGCCAACGGTTTTCTGGAGAAATCTGAATAAAATTGGGTAAAGAGTAATAATTACTTTGTCAGCTATATCAGTTCAATATATGAAAGCTTAAACATATATATATATTTAGGGACTCAATATCTATTGTGTGTGCCTTTCCTTTGTTAAAGTGGGGAGATTTTGGCTATTTTTGTTATAATACAATAACATTTTAGCTGTAGAGGGTTGAAAAACTACTCCTATGGCTAATTATTGGTTAATTCTTCCATTTATTTGTTGCAGCTCAGGTTTTTTGAATGATACTGCCTATTTAAAAAGGATTTACTGGGATTATCTTGCATTACTTTTATTGTGTCAGCGGCATAAAGTCGCCTCAATAGTATCAGTTATCGTAGTATATCTTTGTAGTAATATATCACGTTTTAAAATGTGTTATCGTGACAGGCCTAGATCCAGGTTAGACATGGAGTTTATTGTCATCGCCCACATGAAATCCTCCCTCTGCTGTAATGAAAGAGGAGGCAGTGTCATGGTGTTCTCTGGGCCCTCCCAGGTCGTCTTTGGTCAAAGAATGTGCTTCTTCACACAACACATACCCAGGCTTTGTATGTCAATCTTCAGACACATGTTTCTCTCCGTTTTGTTGTTCAGCTCCTTCTCTTTTGATCAGGATGTTTTCAGTGCACGTCCTGTAACTCTGCTGAAGACTTGTGCATACTTTAAAAAACATTCTTCTGCATAGGGCTGGGTATTATGATGAAAAAAAAAAAAAAATAGAATTGTGATTGCATTCCTGTGAAGACTGGTCAATTCCGTAAATGCTGATGAGTGATGAGGCGACTTTGACCAATTGCAATAAAGTGTTCATTTTTTCGAAGAAGTAGATACTTGTAGGCCTGTCACAATAATAACTATCGAAACTTATCTTTCAGTACATGAAAGATGGAACATACATTTATTGGGATCAGTATTTATTGTGTGTATTGTTTTTTTGCACTAATGAGAATTCTTTCTTTGGTTCCTTTTGACTATGAGAAGATCTGAGCCGTAGAAAGTTGAATAAATAGCTTCCATGGCTCATTACAGATGCAAACTAAGTATTTAAGTGTTCAATTTAGCTATTTATCTATTGCAGCTCAGGTTTTTAACAATATTTAGATTTAGAATATTTTTTGTGGTTTAAATCTGCTCTTGGGGTATTGTGTCACTGTCATAAATTAGTTTAAATATTATTGTTTATAGTCTATATTTACTTCAACAATATATCACACTTCAGAATGTTTCATTGTAACAGGTAGTTGCCTATTAGTACAATATACATGTACTGAATTCACATGAATTGTGCTAAAATTGCAATCATACTGCATATAGTTTCTTTTTTCTTTTTTTTTTTGGCTTATCGCCCACTCCTACTTCTCCACAAAGAATTCATTAGAAAAAGCTGCCTTGGATATTTCCCTTTCAGTAAAACATTCTTCAGATTTTTCAAAGTTCCCATCAGCAAATAAATGTCATTAGCCTAGTCCTCTACCTTTCTGTAAGGCCCAGCAGCTCGGACCCTTGAAGACATGGCAGCATTGTGTTACTATTGTAAGGCTTTCTGTGCCTCTGGAGGAGCCTGGAGTCTCTCTGTGTTGGTGGATCAAAGGAGGACACTGAGAGGCCAGCAGACCAGGCTCACGGCTCTTTCACCTTCTCACCCACTCCATGGCCTTCATCTACCCGCCCCCCAGACTGCTGCTTATTTACTCAGCTGACCCACTGCGTTTGATGTCCCCTCACAGTCAGACGGACCCTCTGTACACTTTCACTCTTCTGACCCACTCGTCAACTGGGCCACAGGCTTCAGTCGGAGTGTAGGAGGCTGCAGGTTCGTGCCAAAGCATAAGGGTGTGATACAGGGAGAGATGAGGCTCTATCAGCCCTTTCCCTCATACAGATTACACTCACGCTCTCAGCTGCAAAGCTCTGGCATGTCCTCAACAAGAAACATAGCTCTGTACTTCTCCTTTCACACTTTACAGTTCAAACTTCAGATTTTACTGAAATGGTATGGTGTCTGATGTTTTTGTGAGTTTTATTGTTGAAAATCTATTCTCTTATTTTTTACCCATCTTTATTCACCAGGAGCAACTTCAGGGCAGAGCCAGAAGACCTTGGTCAGAGATCTTAGTCAGAAGTAATCAGATGAACAATCAGCTTTCTGTACATGCTCTTTTTATTGTCTGGAGAAGCTGCCAGTGGACACCATCCCTGCTCGGAATAATTCAGAATTTACAAACAATCTTTACGTAAACTTCATTTTGCATTATTTAGCTGTCTGTTTGTAAATAACTATTTAGAAAAACCCTCGTCAGTTAAATTGAAGGAGCTCAACACAGAAGCAGGCAACCTGCCATTCCCATGACATGGACTCATTACTTTACCTTATCAGCAGTTCCAGTGATCTTGGGGCTCAGTAAATGTTTTGAATAGCTCATATGTTCTCCATCTTTCTTGATGTATTTATTGACAGTGGATTGAGGATTACAGGCAGTGAGTGCTTACATTGTAGATATGTATGAAATTGTGATGTGGGATCAGCCTGTAAAGTAGCTTGTTTTATAGAAGGCTCATAGAGATGTGTCTTTATGAACAGTAATAAACACCACATACATGTTTGTGCACAGAAAAAGGAGCGAGAATGTATGCAGCTGCGTATCGCTGTTCTGCGGAGTGAACTGGAGCGGCAGACCAAGGCTCTGGGCCGAGAGACTGACCTGAGGCAGAAGGAAAGAGCTCAGCTTCAGAAAAAAGGTAAATGCATAGAATGTTGTTATGTTATTGACCTTTATACTACTAAAAATGCTAAAGAGTCTGAAGCATACAGTATCCTCAGCTGCTGTTTGGAGTGGAGGTTTGGTGCCTCTGGAGCTTCACTACATCACATCTGGTGCCAAAAACAGAATAACTTGCTGTGAGCAAATTTCTTATTCTTTTTTTTTCTTCTTCAATTCATCAAAAACAGACAAACCACAAAAACCCTGCCACACCCCACCCCCTCTCTCAACACTCAACACGCACCCAAACATACGCACATACATGCACATACACACACGCACACACGCACACACGCACACACACAAAACTACACAAAAACCACTGGGCAAACTAACATTATCTGTCACTCAAGTCCAAACCTTTCAAAATGTTCAAAAAAGTGTCCATATCTGTTTAAAGTTTTGTGAACAACTTCTTACTTTTTGTTAGCTACCTGGTTAAGTTGGTTAAGGTAAGGGATTTGTCAAGGGTATTGTATAAAAAGTGTTGAATTTGACTTAACTCTCAACAATACATGGCCGTATACATTCTGAGCATGTACCTAAACAGATTAAAAACTGCAAAAATTGGGGTCACTGCAGAGGTTTCTTTGTGCTTTAACCCTAAAACAGGACTGTTAATCCTCCCTCTCTTTACATGTCACCGCTCTGTCTGCAGCTAAAAGTGCTCCATACTCTCCCTCTTCATTCAGGGCTATCCAGACAGGACAGGTGCTTATTAAGAGGGTACAAAGGTTCACGGGGGACACGGTGGGAGGAGAGAAATTAAAATGCTTTTAGCTAAACAGGACTGTGTTTCTAGCCTGAGAACCACTGCTTGTATTAATTACATTCAGTTAAATTAGTGTATGTTACCACTGCTAGTTACTGTGGTCATTCCAAACAGAAGCAAGAACAAGTGAAAACTAAATTTTGCTACATATTGCTGAGGTAAACATAGACGATAAAGGTTAACACTGAATTATCCCCCAAATGTTTTCTAAACGTAAAATATTGTTTAAAAAAAACACAAACTGCTATAAATAACAGAATTAAACAGTTAAAGGTGCACTGTTTAACTTTTTGATTGGGGGTCCATCACCTGATTCTCTGTATCATTGCTCTGCCTGGAATGTTCCACAGTATGACATTAAACAGCTTTACCTTACATTTCTTCAATTACAGGTGGTTTTGTTGCTCAAAAACAGGCATTCTGACTGAGTGTGGTTGCCTCTCTACAGATTTTACCTGTAACTTGGTCTGGTTTGGTCTTTACATGAAGATAGAAAGTTTTAATACCATAGTGTGAGACATTCTCACAGCAATCTCACATCTCCTCACATCACAACCTCATCATCTCCTTGGAGAAAAGCTTTTGACCGACCCGCCACCAGAAAAGTTACACAATGCACCTTTAAGTAGATAGTTGGTATTTATAATGAGTTATAGAAGTTAATAATTCAACATTTTATTGCTTAAATCTCCTTGTAAATCACAAAAATAACCAAACTTCTTCCACTAGTACAAAGAAAAAATAGCCATGATAAATATTGACCCCCAAAAAGTACTGCTCATCTATCATGTATTGAATGATAAATCAATATAGTAATGGTGCTACTGGTGCCTCTATGGAATGATTCTTTCTCTGTTCAGAAAATGGCTTACCAGAATATTAGCATTGCTCCTACTTTTTAGTGCTTTTTTTCACACATTCCTGCATGTATTGAATGCAGGTTTCTGTCTGCTTGTCAGTGACAGTTTAATAGTACGTGTAAGTACGTTGCTATGCTGCATATCCTCAAAAGATGTCCCATATGTACTGTAAATTTTCGCTCCTCGTCACGCTCTGTGTATGTGTACCTGGCCCTGTGGTCCTCTCTGCACAGTCTCTTGGCCCAATAGTGAAGAAATGTCGTCAGCTCGAGCAGGTGTGTGTTGGTGAGTTTGCAGGTGAGGTGCGGAGATCTACATTTTCATCAGTCTTTATTAGTGTGTCTCTTTGGACATGTTCATGCCTGACTTTATGTTACACAAAGATGTTGTGTCTCTGATATAGACAGAAGTTGAATAGTAAAAACAAAAGCTGTATATGGCCACTGTTAGGTGTGGGACAATACACAATAATAGCATTTTATATAATCGTGATAATCCCCAACAAATATAATCATAATTTTATCACCAGAATGTACTGAAAAAAGCTACTTGTCCATTGATGTTTTCTTCTAGATCATTGTTGTTTTCACTCATAACAAAGTACAATTCTATAACAGTTGTTTAAATATGGAACTCATTCATAATTAGGGCAGTCAAAAGATTAAGAAAATTGAGAGATTAATTAATTATGATCTGTAATTAATTAATCTAATTAATCTCTTTTGTAATCTCACCTAAAAATTGCTGAGAAAAGCTCTCAACTTGAGGTATTTTCATTTAAATTTATTATTACATTATTGTGGCAGATCAAAAGACTGATATATAACAAAAAAGTGATAAAGTCATTTATAGTTTAACAAACTTTAACAGATGCAGTCATTGACATTCTGCTGTGTTCTTTTGTCAAACTCTAAATAATTAGCAAGTTCAAATAAAATAAAACACCAGATCAGAGCCCTGCACCCATGGAACCCAATGCAAAACAGTGCAGGGCAGGACACATTCTCAAAGCTCACTGGTGGAACGAGACTCGACGATGCGGGAGCGGGTGGGTGGGATGATAAAATACAGTCCCGCAAACTAAATGTGAGTGTAAAGTAAAATATACAAATGATTAATGTATGTCTATCATACATCATTTGTGCTGGATATTTTATTTTGGCATCAATAAAAACATTTTAAGCAGCCTAAATTTGTGGATGTGGTCTAACCTTGCACACATTTTAGACAATTCCTTTCTGCTTCTCCATGTTTGATAGAGGTTAAGAAAGCGAACGTCCCCATTAGGGATGGGCATTCGATGAAATTTTATTAATCTATCATCGGGAGAATTAACGATCGATTTTTGATTAATTAATGTTTTTATAGTTATAATAAGTATCATGATTATTATTACTATTACTTACTCTGCATAAATAAAGTCAACTTTACGACATATAAACCATAACCACTCCTAGAGCCACATCAGCCCTTTTGACATTATAGTGTTTTTAATGCAGCTTTGCTCAAGTCTCACTGAAACGAAACTTAAAACCACATGGCTAATTTGCATAAACTAAGCAGAGAAAAGAAAAAAAAAAACAGCTCTTGTGCGTTGATGTAGTTCAGCTTCTGTAGGACTAAAGGACATGACTCAGTGGAATATATGTGTTCTTTATGTGACAGAGGGATGTTGATGCTGAAGGTGAGTCTGTTCTGTGTGTGTGTCGCGATGTTTTCAGAGATCATAATGAAAATTACAATTCTTTGCGGGAGTGATGTGTTGTTGTCCCAACAACACATAAAAACATATTTTATAATAAGGTAAACTGCATACAGAAACAGTAAAGTTAGAGATTAAAAATAAGATTAATGCGATTAAAAAACATAACGCGCTAAATATCACTGTAATTAATTAATAGCAATTAATGCAATAATTTGACACCCCTGTTGATAATATTAAAAGATATAATCGTTAATTGCAATTATTTTAACCATGATAATCGTGACACCCAATTTGAATATTGTACCACGCACATTCACTGTTCACATAAAAGGAACCCAGCGGAAGAACTTTTTAAACTGTTCTTTCAAACTGAGGCTTGGTAGATCTTTCCCAAAAGAACTCCAGGATGAATGAGCTTGTCTTTTGGGGGGTCACAGCGTTGTCACAATTTCCTCCTTTCCTAATTTCCCCCCTTTCACTTCAAGCAGACACATAAATCAGAGCTGTGAGCGGCGTTTATTGTGTTTAGTAACGGTAGTTATTCTCACGCTCTGTAACACAGCCAACTCTCCTCTCCAATAAATGTCAGTGCATAAAAGCGTAGAGACTGAAGCGTTCAGAGAGCAGGTTTCATACTGAAGCCATCATCATTAGCACTGTTTTACAATCAGCTGCACGCCTCACATCCTTTAGCAGATCTGACTTGGGCCAAAGGGGGGAATGGGCAACCTTCTAATCACTGCCTCAATTCTAGTCGACGTATTTTGATGAACAAAATTGTGATCTGGACTATACAGACTCTACAATGACCACAAAGACCTTGTTGTAACAAAAACATTAGCGTTATTAAATCAAAATGTCAAAGAATAATCAATTTCAGTTTTTTTCAGTAATGCACATCTGTAAATATTCTCTCTTTAGAAACTTTCAGTCTTTATATTTCAGCATTTAAGTATAAATTTACAAATAATCGTTTTGACTAGTTAAGTACTAAAATAATCAGCAGCCCTACTCTTGTATGTCTTGTATGTCTTCAGTTAACTTTGTGAAATAAAACTAGATATAATCCAATCCACTTTATTTGTGTATAAACAGACAATATTAATAAAGAAACACAAAAAAGAATAGTGCTCAAATGCTTACGCTCACTAGCTCTAAACTAATAAAATCAGTAAATTCAAAAAGTAGGCAATAAAATAGCAATAAATAAATAGCGATGTTGCCTGTGTAACATTAGAGTACAAAACACTCAGCCTATCATGATTATTACTACCGTTATGTCAATTATTATACATGATTATACATGAAAGCTGAAACAATATATTTTGGGGCTCAATATTTATCGTGGGTAGTTTCTACTTTTTAGATGTAATAATGTAAGATCTGAGCTGTAGAAGATAGAATAAATAGCCATCTATGACTAATTATTGGTCAGTTCTGCAATTTATTTGTTGCAGTTCATGTGTTTTAATGATGCTGTATATTTAAAAATAGTTTACATAGATAATCCTGCTTTATTATTGTTGTGTCAGGGGCATACATTTGATTCACTATTATCATTTATCATCTATATTTTCTTCACCTATATATTGTACTTCAAATTTTTTACTATGGTGACAGGCCTACAAAACACAATAAAGCCTTGACCCACAGCTGCTCCAACACTGCACGTAATGTAGCGTACCATGAGGGTTTGTCTGTCCATCCAAAGATACAGACTGGAACGGGTTAGCAGGATGAAAGCATGAAGAGATGGATTGGTAAAACAGATAGAACGGACCTGGGCACTACATGAAAGCGAGTGTGTAGCCCAGGCCCACACTGTTAGTGTTAAAATATGTTTGCATGTCATCACTTCTGATTGAAGGATGACCTGGCTGATCTGCACCTCACACTATCTTCTCTAGACCTAATCTGATGGAGATAACCGGGTGCACCTCTATTTTGCAGTCTGCTTTCTCCTTTATTTACGTTGATGTTCTGTGCCCAAAGAAGGAAAGTCACTTAAAATGAGTAGATTAGGACAAGATTTATGGCTATGTTTTGGTACAAAAAATAATAAAAACATCAGATAAAGTTTTATTACCATTTACAGTAAGCAAAATTCGCAAACTAGAATGTGCTTCAGGGCTATGGTCCAACCTAAAACAAGTACGAATATTAAATTTAAAAAGTTAAATATAAAAAATTAACATCAAACAAAGGCCAGGCATTAACTATAAATAAATGAAGGTAAAGTAAAATAAACATTAGTATAAGTATTAGGGGTGTCATCTTTCAATTGTCGTAGTTAATTAATCGGTCGATGGTGCCTATTAATCAATTTATTATTTTATTTAGATTATAAAGAATTATGTGCACAACTGCAGATTGGATTAATTGAAGATCTGGGAGTGAATCCTGTGTTTTAATCTGCCTTTTTCCATAAATACACTTTAAATGTATAATTTGTTCCATAATTGAGCAGATCCAGTGGCTGTGGCCCTTGTGACCACTGCAGAGGAGCTCTCACCATCACTAGTGTTTATATTCACATTCTGAGCACGTGTGAGGCCCGGCACACACAGCTCTGAGGTTTGTGTGTCTTTAGCCGTACATTTTTTTTCTTTGAGGCCTCTTCAAACAAACGCTCTTCTACCTGATTGTCAATCTCCGTGTTTTGCTGGCAGAGCTGTCAAACAAACAATCATTATTAAATTATGAAAATGACGCAATTACTGTCAAAACAAAATAAATTAATTTTAAGTTGTTGTATTGGGAGAAAGACTGCATACTTTATAGAACTGTAGTTATTTTTTTTAAGTATTCAATGATAAATTCCATCACTATGTTACACATTAAAATTAGATTTTGAAGAAAATGGAATAAGATAGTTATTATACCTGTTATGTCATTCAAGAGTACACCTGACTCTAGGGCTGAATCAAGTTATCACAACTAATCAATACTGAAATAATCCCCAACTAATTTAAAAATCAAATAACTGTTACTTGGTCTCTAAAATGTACCATGAGAGAATAGGTTTTATGATGTAGATAAAGCAGCAATTACTATAAAATGACACTGAAAATGTGTACATTTAGTATTTTTTATTTTCTGTCTGTTTATACACATTATATTATCTTCACAAGCCTTTTGCAAATTACACAACTAATTAGGGTTGTTACAATACTAAAATTTCAAACATGATTTTGCGTTTTTATACCTGGCTCCAGAATGGTCCATGGGCCTACATATACTTGTATATGCCTGCAAGTATATATACTTGTTTACTTGTAACAAGTCTTATACTTGTTCTGATACAGCTCAAGGTCATTCTAAAGCTATTCAAGAAAAGTTAATTTCTGTCCTGCGAATGGGACTTTTTTAGTTTTGATACTTGCTCAAATGAGCATTTAGTTTTGATACTAATTTCAGTATCTATCAGATTTCAGATACTTGCCAACTCTGTATCTAATTGATTCATTGAAAGAATAATCACGTTAATTGATTACCAAAATAAGCGTTAGTTGCAGTCCTACTTCACTCTCTACCATTTTACTCTTGTTTTCTTGTGAGTTCAGATTGTGATTCAGCTACTTCCTTATGCTGTATCATCAGTGTTTCTGTATCTTATATTATTTCATTACCTTCCCTGTATTTATCTAGTCTGGTGAATCCTGTAATCTGCACACATGTGTTGTTGGGTTTCATGTGGTCTCAAACGGATGTAATTCATAGTCTCATCAAACACGTGTCTGGATGGTGGATTGCAGGCAGCAAAATATCAACTCTCCTCACTGTTCATATATAGCAGCACCAAATGCCTTTAAAGGTCTTATATTACACAAAATAGACTTGTGAGCTTTAAATCATGTTATAATGTTGTTATCTCCTGAAAACATACCTGGAGTTATGTTTTATTTTTATCCACCCTTGTTTCAGCAAGACTGCATTATTAGTCTGTCTATATCTCCAAAGCTCAAAATGCTCTGTTCCACCTTATGATGTCAAGAGGCAGTAGTTTTCATGTTAACAGTGTATGTAAGTGTATGTAAGGTGTATGGAGTTTAAAAACACAGTGGAGCACTTCCTTCATTACCACATGACATCACAAGGTGGATGTGTTTTCTGTTTGAGAAAAGAACACAGCCTAAATATATAGAGTTTGTGTGTTAAACGTGTGAATGAAACAAAACTCAATTCTATGTATGTTTGTGATGAGGAAACTACATTATAACAAAGATCAGAAAATGGCATCATATGTGCCCTTTAATGTACGTTTCTTTGTTTTTGTTTCAGAGGAAAGCTTTTCGACTCAACACGGCAGTCTAAAACTCGAGAAAGAATCGCTCACCAGGCTACAGAAGGAATGCACCGCCAAAAGGTATGTAGCAACCTGTAATTTGGTGATGATTTATGTATGCATACACAACACTTGCTTCTAATGTGCCCTCAAGTCATCAAATCGGCACCAAGTGAATTTAAAGAATCTCTAAAACAACACATAATATTTGTGCGTTGATTCCTGGAGCTTGTTTATTGTCCCTGTTGTTAACTGCTATTTTCCAGGTAGACAATCTCTAAGCCAAATAGCAATGAGCTTGGCCTGAGGGGTGAGACTTGTTTTGCTGAGCTTTACCTGGCCATAGCAAAGGCTGAACTCAGAGCTCCAGAAATTAACTGGACGTGAACAGGAAATTACTAGTGACACTTATACATACATTTACACGTAGAGGGCTAGGCTATATATTAAAAGAAAATCAATTTTTCATTTGGATATTAAATTATTAAAACCGTATAAAAATAGCTTTGAGTGATCATTTACAATAAGAAATTACTGAATGGCTGAATTCACTTGCATACTTACAATTGTCATTTTACATCTCAAAATACAATTTAAAGGGCCCATATTTTATATTTTCAGATCTATGTTCTAATGTTCTTTCTTCATCAAAAGCATCCCTGGTGTTTTTTTTTTCTTTTTTAATTCACACATGTAACACACAAATCCTCTATATTTAGGTTGAGTTTTTAACTAAAACAAAAAACACTCCGTTCCACCTTGTGATGTCATGCAGTAATACAGGAAGAGCTCCACTATGTTTCTAAGCTTGATACATCTTCATTAGAATCATTTGGGTCATTTCATCCCCTGGAATGGCCAATCTCTACTAAACAAAATGTAAAAGGTCGCTGTTAACTTGAAAACTACTGCTTTGTAACATCACAAAATGGAGCATCACAAAGTATTTTGAGCTTTGGAGACATATGGAGACTAATAATAAAGGTTACTCAAACATGTGTGAATTAAACAAAACACAACTCCAAGTATGTTTTTGAAGAGGTAACATTACAACAAGGCTAATAACTCACAAGAGTCAATTATACGTAATATAGAACCTAATACATTTAATACATTTGCGTGTATTAGATTAATGTAATGTATTACATTGTGTGTATTCTAATATTGTGTATTGTGTCTCTAGAGAACAGTTTCTGAAGTCGAACGCACAGCTCACCTTCAGATGCCGTCAGCTTCTGTCTGAGCTCTCCTACATTTATCCTATTGACGTGGTGAGTAGTAGAACAGTGTGTTTGCATTGATATTCAGTTGGATTGACCACGGTTCTCAAAATTCTCAAAAACTTGAATCCACAGACAAATCAGACAGACTACGTCATCTGTGGAGTGAAGCTACCTAACTCCGAGGACTTTCAAGGTAAACAATAAATTATAGTAAACCAAAACAAGCACCAAGGTAGTCCTGACCAAGCCTAGCTCAAGACCTGGAATTCAGTCCCCCGATGCTCTCTCTGACAGGTTGCCCCAGCAGCCCTGAAGATCAGTCAAATGCAACAAATAACTAATACATTTTCTGTATGGGGACAATAAAGACGACCTGCGCGCCCAAGTTTATTAATAGTAGAATAATGAAAATACATGAACTCTTTATTAGTGTGGACTACAATATTACGATATTAGTATCTGTTACTCAAGAGAGACGTTAATCTGAATTTTATTTGAACACAATCTGACCAGAAAGAGCTGATTTGGTTAGAACTACAACAGGTGACATGATTTATGTATTTAAACACTTCTTTCACACATAAAATTACACTCACAAGATAGTTAGCATTAGTTAGTCTTACTCTTACGCACCTTTTTGTTGAAAATCAAACGCCTAAAACATGAATGTCTGTTTTGATCATCTTAAAACGTTTTTGTCTGTGTTTGCTAATGTGTGCATTGTGTGACCATGGTAACTCCTGAACATTCTGCCAATAGAGATACACGTGGAGCAGTATCAATTCTTGTCACCTCGACTAATCATGATTGTCGATTCATCTTGACATCCCTGTTGTGATACAGCTGTGCTATGATGAATTGCATAAGAAAAGTGATAGATGGACAGATATTTGATCAAAATGCAGTGTGCGCTGCTCTTTCAATTTGATACCGCTCAATCATTCTTCGTCTTTTCACATTCAACATTCTTTCTCATACTTCAAACATACAGCTCCTATAACACGCTGCTCCCCACTGCTGCCACACCTGCTAATGTCCTTTAAGAGCCAATAGAACAGTTTGTAGTGTTTTTCACAGATCGCTTCAATCTCGTATCTAGGGCTGTAGTTCACTAAAGAAATTGTTTAGATGACTACACGTGCCTCGTTGATAGGCCTGTCACGATAACACATTTTGAATCACAGTATGTTACTACAGAGAAATATTGCGATAAATGATAGTACTGAAAATACATTATGTCACTGACACAAAGCAAGATAGCAAGCTGAGTGACGTAACTCAAAAATACCATGACTGCTTAGATAAAACTGTCTGTAAAGGTAGAAAAACTCATGATTCACTGTCAGATCTTCAGCTGACTCACACAATATACCTTCCCCTTTCAGTCCCATATAAATCCTTAAACTCCAAATAAAATAATTTGTTGACTAATAGGTCTGAACAATTGGGAAATTGCAGTTTTTCTAACAAGCACTGTGATTGCGACTTTGATAATAGGATTCTGTTCAAAGTTTAAACGCATCCAGAAGAATTGACAAATATATGAAACGACCAACTAATACAAGAAGCACGTGTCATTTGTTTTACATGGTTAACAGTTTATTTTGTTGTTTTTGGAGGAAATTATGGTACTTCAAAAATTGCAGTCTTTGTGTCTTGCGAATTGTGTCTTGCAGCCCTCTCGGCTAATACATATTTTGGTAAACTAATCGAATAAACAACTAAATGCCCACACCCTTACTTTCTTTCCATGTTATCTGCTGTTATACAAACTTTTTCAGTCAGCATCAGTTGTGTGAGGTCTGGATATACAGCGGTGGCCCTAATTAAGTTCTCAATTGTCTGATCTGGTGTCAAAGGGAGTTTAAAGGGACCTCAAGGGTGAATTTTTGCCAGAAGAAAAGTCAGGGTCAGGGTCAGCTGGACGCTAATCCCTCTCAGGTCACTGTGGTATTGTCCCCAAGTCCATCAGGCTTCTGTATTTAACTTCTCTGCACTTATCAGTTTACTTTGACAGGTCATGTGTAGTCTTCAGTTACACCCTTCAGTGTTATATTCAAGTGCCCCTGTGGTGACCTGCGAGAAGTGCCATTCTATACTGAAGACAAAGCAGTAGAGCTGAACTATTTGGGAAAAATATTCGGGCAAGCATTGTAGTTGGATTTACGATTTATGTTTTAACAATGGGATTCTGTTTGAAGTTTACATTTTGAACTTGCCCACAAGAATTATCAAAAGACTGAAATATGAACTGACAAACTAATATAAGAATCACATTTCACATTTCATTACATGTTTGTACAGATCTAAACTACAAGCTTAGCTGCTTTTATGGAGAATTTTGTAGAGGAACTCAAAATTGCAACTTTTGCGATTTACTAATTGCGATTTCGATTCAATTGTGGTTAAGCTTGCAGTAATAGTTATGCTGTGCCTTGAGTTTAGGATTTAGGATTTATGTTGTGCTTTGTTTATATTGTGATTTTAATGTTTTTCTCATTCTGTAAACTGATTGTGCCCCCAGTCTGCTGCAGTCTGTTATTTCACACGAGGAGAAAAAACGTTAAATGTTAGCCTTGAGCAGTGTCCTTTTGGCATTTGAGAATGTGAAACCACTTTGTGTGTTGTCTTGAAACCATTTCCTATTTTAGTTTTTTTCAGTTTTTTATTTGACAGACAAGCATCCTATTTTCCAACCTTTAACCTTCTTAAGACCACTAAGCACTTACTTGATTATTTTTTTGATTACATTTTGATTTTATTTCTTACTGTGAAATTTTTGTCTATTGTGCTCTGATATATGCGTAGAATTGCTTATGTGCTTGCATAAACCTCACTATTTCGTCTTTACTATCGATGTGTTTATGCAGAACTTACTGAACTAGTTTAATGTACAATTAGCATTAGCATTTTTGATCTGTTATTTTCTGTTTATTATTTTCCAGCAAAAGATGACGGGAGTGTAGCGGTTGCCCTGGGATACACAGCACATTTGGTGCTCATGATCTCGTGCTTCCTTCAGATTCCTCTGCGGTATCCTGTGATCCACAAAGGTTCACGCTCCTCCATCAAAGACACCATCACAGATCGCCTCACAGAGAAAGAGAGAGAGTAAGTAGCCATGACAACGAACTTTACATGTCCGAATACAGACAATTCATTTTCAAGTTAGAAGAGTTCCTTTACACGTAACAGTACATGACAGTGGGTCCAAACCCACATCTTTGTAAAGTTTTGTCAAAGCGTGTGGTTTTGGCTGCCCAGGTATTGATTACCTGGGCAACCTCTTTATTAAATACATGCGCAAACTCTCTCTGTATCACAGCCACAGTGTCTGAGTTCTCATTTTCAAAATGAAATTGTGTATTACAAGTCAAGCTTCTTTTTAATTCTACAGCACAGTTCTCCACTACGTGCAGCTATTTGCACGCCTTAGATAAAAAAAAGATTAGACTTTACTCCTGCCCTGTCTGGGCCATTTTATAAGCTCTTCAAACACATTGTAACATGCATAGTTACAGCACAAGCACAAATAATAAAATTATTATTTTAGTGTGTTATGGTCTTGTAACTATGCATCATCTTGGGAAATAAAACATCATTTTTTCATGATAATTGGATGTTTCTGTACAAACATTTCGAGTTTCGCCTTACGTACACTTACATATGCAGATTGGAATCTCATTCATGCATTACCATCTACAGCAGGAATGATAAACTCAACACTATGCTATAATTAGCATTGCTGCTATTTACTGTGCATGTGCGCGCATACAGTAATTGCCCCCTTAAACTGAACAGCTATTATAATATGATTTCAAATTCCTAAAATTTATAGAAACTCCCCAGTCCTGCTCGCACTCGTCCATACTCTTAAGACAATGGCGCTTTTGCTCTTTAGCCCACAAACTCTGATTATATTAACAGCAGAGGAAGGTATTATCATTGTAAATGTGTGCTGACACTTTAATTATATGTATCTGGGTTTCATTTTAAGACTCTGAAGAAAAATAAGCACAGTATAAAAATATTGATTGAAGAGTATAGTACAATTGCATGGCTTGACAATGGCTACAAATGCTCCCATATTATTATAACGAGAGCCAGCTCAAAGCCTCCGCTGACCAAAAGCTCTCCCATCTCCCTCTGTCCTCTTAGCCCCACTGCCCTCCCCACGTCCTCTCAGCTTGTGCCTGTTTGTGACCTCTGAGGTCCTGCACACAGCACACAGCACAATGATGTGTGGAAGACAGAAAACAACCAGTGGAGCTCTAAACGGTACAAAAAGGGCGATTAAAGTGTCGGAAAGAGGTAGCCCATGGTGATAAGTGAGGTGACTTGGATCAGTTTCTCAAAGTGTGCTAAGATTAGCAAGCACTGAGTCAATTAGAACAGCATACTTATAGAAACCTTATGCTGGTTTAGCTTTGTGTTGGCCTACTTAATAGGACAGTCTATCTCATTATAGGTTTTTAAGCTCCTGTTTAACTTTTTTGCTACATTTAAAATAAAAATTCTTAAAGTTTTCTTTGAACATTTTCTCTAACAACGTTGTAAAATGTGTATTTTGTAGTATGATATCTGGTCTCCTTACCTTCTCTGGTCGAGCTGGACTCGGTGGACATGTTGCACCCACATTTTCGGGCCAATGTTTCTGATTGCAGAGGGAGTGCTGTGGAGATGCAATCCAGATGTCCACTGTTTGATTGAGACCAGAGCTCCACCATTAAATGGCAAGCTCTAGTGGCTACTATAGTCCAGCGTCAAGTATCAATGCATTTTTTTTGATAATTGGATTTTGGAGGAAAAATAATGTGGGATTTACACATCACAGGAAACTGTTAAATGTAGAGGATGTGGGAGCTCAGCCAGTTTGTGACAAGAAGAACCTGTACGCTCAGACACTGAGTTCCCAGTCTTGAATTTCTGAACCTTAAACAGAACTGTGATAAGCTGCAGGACTTTCTGAGAACTATAGATTTCTTTCACCCTCTCTTTTTGCATATGTTGATAATGCAAGGAAGTTAGCGTTGGAATATTCTATATAAACCAGATGACGGGGCCTTTATCTCGGGCCCCTGGAGATGGAATCACATTTGAACAAATGGGTCATTATTTAAGTCTTTATGTCAACTTCAAAGATATGTCAGGACTGGACAGAATGTTTACTTGTCTTTTGAGGTTTCTTTCCAGATCACTCAAAGACAATAGCAGGAAGCGTATGTTTGCGATATCACAGAGGAGTCAAAGACCATGCCTCCTTTAGGGTAACAGGTGAGCCCCTCCTGGACCCTGTTATATATCTGTACTTTAAATAAAACCACAAAGCATCTGTGTTAAAGCGGTTAGAAGTTAAATGTGCTTGTATGTTGTTTGTGCTGTGGACATGTTTTTAGTCTTATTCTGAAACAATGAGAAAGACAAATGAAAACATAAGAGAGTCTCCAAACCCTGGTTATTCTTAAGAGCTGTGATGAAAACTGTGTGTGACAGAGCAGCCGCCACATTACCCGAGAGACATTTAAAAAGCACAGACAAAGAAGGTGGACCAGTCCGAACAGTCATTAAAATAACATTTACTGACAGATGCTTTGTACAATTTTTCTTAAATCGAAAAATACAGCTCACTTTGATTTATCGACTAACTTCTGCTATTAGGGCCTGCGCAAGGCAGGTGATTTGTCAAGAAGGCCTAAGGATGTATCGCTTTATGTGGTTAGAATAGCTCATTAAATGGATTTCAACAGCACCACTCAGCATAAAACGGTGATGAAGGTACTGACCAGACCTACTTTTAATTAGGACGTCAAACAGGAACAGCAGTGAAGCTGTGTGTACATTGCACCAGTTTAGCCCATTTGCAGAAGTCTCCAGAAATGTACCAGGCCTAATAAAGCAGAGCCGACCACCTACCCTCACAGCTGTCTCCGTCTCAACACTGGGGGAAAGGAGTTTGTAGAATAAACAATAACACGGTTAAACATACACTACAAGCCTCCAGTGGTCTGCACAAAAGACTTTCTTTGACCTCTGTGCCCTTGGCCTGTATTAGTCTGCCTTTAACAAGGATTCCCCTGGAGAAGACAGTCACTTTAACTAATAACAGAATGCTAATGGGGTGTCTGCACTGCCTGTAAAGACAATGAGCCACACTAACAACATTTTTGCCTTTCTCACCCACTTGGCCAAAGACTATAGAAGAAGTCATGTGACCTGGACACCTGCTAGGAGGCACCAACTGTGCAGTACACAGAGATGCCTGCTAATCAGACATGAAAGAATTTAAACTCAAACTACTGTTTACAGATCCACAACAGGAAGAGTGACCTCACAGCTGAGGCATTATTAAAGAAAGAGCCTGTAGACAGAGCGGTGTACTTCCTATTACTGAAGCATTAGTAACTGTTGTCAAAAGTCCCCGCTTCATAACCATTATGTTTTACAGCTGCTGCTGATGCGGTGCCCACACCTGAAAGTGAACCAGCTGCCAGCACAGTGTAGCCCTGGGCCTAGTTTCACTCCCATAAAAAGGGGGACTTTCACAAAATCTTTTATGCTTTCTTGTTTATTAATTACATATTTTACTTTGACCCATAGTTCCAGCTGCTGACATGCTAAGCTGCCCTGCAGCGTTCTGAAACGCAATGAGAAAAAAAAAGTAATTTTTTATGAGTGCAAAAGAATGTGAAAGATTTACTCATGCTGTCAATACACTGTCATTGCAAGTTCATCTTTTGGTCCAGCTCCTGCTGTGAGGAAGATTGGTTAAATGGAAGCAGATTAAAGTTTAAGTAATCAGCTTTTACGTAAAAGGGTGCAAAAGTGTGTGGGCGTGTTGATTACAGCGCCTGTCATAGTGAGTGTTCATTGTTCGTTAGTTTGCGGACACGACCCTTTGACAGATGGAGAGAGAGATGTGCTGATGGAAGAAACATTGTGATTAGGTTCAACATGAAAAAATTGCTGCTGAGATAAAGATGGTTTGACTTGATAGAAGCACAGAGCAAAATTAAACAAAGAATCTCAGTGAATCCATGTTTTTAGTTACTGCTTATTTTTGACCCTACACAAACAGCATAATCCTACTGGATGGTAATGTTATACTGTTTTCTGTGCACTATGCTGCTTTTCTGGTGGAGGGTCCATCTCTTTGTGGAGATGTTATTGCATCTCTTGGAATGTTCCACAGTATCACATTTAACTTAACTAGTCTTCTTTTTCAATATTGGTGTTGAAATATGCTATGATATGTTTGCTATGAGCCTGGTCTCATCTCCACAGATCTGACCTTAGTTTAACTATACTATATTGTAATATTTAAGGCAAAGAACACTTTGCACTTTTTTAAGTTACACTACTAATGCTGATGAATAATTAAGCGCAGGCACTCAGTCATCTCACCATCAACACAAGGTGACTGTAATTTACCATTGACTTGGAATGCATGATCCAGTCTGTCTTTGTCACAAACCTGCTGTGATTAGATAATATGAAAAAATAACCCCCTGAAGCCCACTCCAGCAGGGCCTCCTCCTCATTCCTCCTCCCCAATCCTGTAATAATATATTTGACTTTACTGGACATTCCCCGGGAGGAATTCCACATGTTTGGTGAACCAGAGTCTCTCCATGTCGATTTCAGACTCAGTGGACAGCGGTCATTAATCACTTCTGTGACGGAGCTGTGTGCGCTCATGTGTTTGTGTGTGTGTTTTGGAAGTGCCTCTGTTTTTCTTTTCCGTCACGGTCATCGCCAAACAAATCCTATCTGCGAATGAGGAAGTGATATTAGGATTGCCAGCAGGATTGGGATTGTGTAGCAGGGAAACCATGTTGTGTTGTTCTTCCTCTCCAGGGTCGGTATTTCCATGTAGTCAAGATATGTTCTCTGGCATGGTTTTCTCACAATGTTGATGATAGAGAGAGGTTTATCTTTTTTGCTAAGTGTTGCAGAAAATGTAAGAACTCTATCCATAAGTTTGTGTTTTGAGTTTTGTCTTAAAGGTGCACTGTGTACCTTTTCTGATGTAAAAATTATTGTTTTCCCTTGTATGTTCAACAGTATGGCTTTAGAGATCTATCAAGCATTTATTTAATTACAGGAGGTTTTATAGCTAAAAATACCTTCAAAAACTGACTTGTAACTTGCTCTCTATCTCCATGGAGTTAGATAAGATTAATGTCACACTGTGGAACATTCCAGGCAAAGCAATAGCATATCCATGGAGACACAGAGGGTGGCAGGCCTTCTACCAGAAAATACACAATGTACCTTTAATAAAAACAAATTTAAATGCCTTTCAAAATGAATTTTCAGAATATAAACAAGACATTTAATCAAATCAAATCTTGAATAAAATCTGATTAATTGCGCAACCCCTAGTTTGAACTCCAATTTTTTCAATACTAGTAGTTTGATGATTTGTCAAGAGATTCTTTTACAAGGAGCACTAGTTCAAAAATATGTCTGTTCTGTTTTCCAGCCAGGCTATTAAATTTATGTTTGATGAAACCAATACGATACAGAAGACAACAGTGTGTCCAAAATCTGGCCTTTATTACTGCCTAAATACTCAAAACTCAAGCTGGCTTTTATTTTTGACATATCAAACCTTTTAAATCAATCGGTTTCTGAGCAGTTTTTTGTGTTCCTCAACTGTGGCCATCAAGACTCCGTCCATAGCCTGTGATAATGATGGTAAGTGGCAGTAGCGTCCTGAGAATTGTGGGTGTTTGGGGAAGTGCTCTTTGCCACGGAGTCTGCTGGCTTCAGGCACCTATAGGTCATAGTTAGAGAGGATAAAGGAGGGACCCGTATCTACTCTCACCCAGGATTAAAGGGAGACCGTGACCCTATCCCTAGGAGGCAAACACACAGGAAGGATGTACAGCGGATGTACAGTTGTGCCACTACACACACGCACACACACACACACACACACACACGATGCACACATATGACACAGCACACACACACACACACATACGACACAACACACATGTTCAAAGAGTCCACACATGCCAGGTTTCTATGCTTTTCAGGGACATTACATTGACATTCATTTCCTGAAGACTGATCCTAACTTTAATCCTGGTTACTACTTGCTTAACCTTATCCTAAACCCTAAACATTTGAACCCATATTTGAATTTTAAACCATGTTCATCTAATAATTAAAGGTGGACTGCATAACTTTTCTAGTGGTTTGTCCACCATCTGCTTATGTCGATTCAGATGTTATTGCTTTGCTCAGAATTTAATTTTATTTTTTTAAAGTACCAGGCGAAGTTAGAGGTCAGATCTGTGGAGACTGGAGAAGCAGCACAGTAAAAGAGAGTGAGATCAAGATGAGTTTTTTGGCTATAAACACCTGAAACTGAACCAATGCAACATGAGTTTAATGCCATACTGAGGAACTTCGCAGGCAAAATAAAAACAATAATTTTCATAAAGACAAGTAAATGACAGACCCTACACTAGAAAAATTACACAGTGCACCTTTAACAATGGAATTACATCATGGGCTTGATATTTGTCCCCATAAAAGAGCCCGTTCTCCATCATATACACTACCGGTCAAAAGTTTTAGAATACCCTAATTTTTCCAGTAATTTACTGCAGTTCAAATCGTGCAAGTCCAGTAAATAGCTTGAAATGGTACAAAGGTAAGTACTGAACAGCCATAGGTTAAAAAAAAAGATAACAACACAAGTCCAGGCTTTGCCAAAACTACCTCAGGAAAAAAGAACAAGATGGTAAGCTTGAATACATGGAGTGACCAGCACAGTCTCCAGACTTAAACCACATCGAGCTGGTTTGGGATGAAATGGACAGAAGAGTGAAAGTCAAGCAACCTACAAGTGTCACACATTTATGGGAACTTCTGCAACAGACTCGGGAAGAACTTTCTGAAGAATATTTGAAGAACGCCACAATTGTGTTCAGTTGTTATATCTTCCAAAGGTGGCTACTTTCATAAATCAAAAGTTTAGAATATGTTTTGGTCAACAGTAAACAGTAAACGATAAAAAAACTGAAAAGTGTGGTGTTCTAAAATATTTGACCGGTAGAGTATGTACATGTATTCAGAATTTAGGTCCCCACAGTGTGATAAATACATGCCCACACAAGCATGTTCAAAGCGCCCACACATGTCTGCGATCTGGGCCCAGTGCGCTCCTGAGTGCATGTGTTGCTTCTGGCACTGCTGTCATGTTATAACAGAGGCATGCTGCTTAGAGGATTGGTCATACTATGGTCACACATCATTTCGCTTGTTCCACTTGCATTTTTAGAGATGTGTTTGTGTTTAACAGTATTTTTGAAAGAAATGAAGTGACTTTTTTCCCATGTAGTGTATGATGAATTATGTACTTGTTGCTGCCAGGCTGTCACAATAAAACTTTTTGTTAGTGTGATATACTGCTAGAAAATATAGATGATAAGTTATCATTTCGAAACTAATTTATACCACTGACACAACCCTAAAGCAGGGTTATCCAGAAATATATATTCTAAATGTACAATATTATTGTTAAAGGTGCACTGTATAGCATTTATACTAGTGTTATTGCTTTGTCTAGAATGTTCCACAGTATAGATCAAACCTATCTTTCAAAAGGGAGACAAGTGGGTTAAAGCACTACGCTGCATTACAAATCAGATCTGTGGAGAGTCACCTCTAGCCTGATTCATCAGCCAGTTTCACTTCGTGGAAACCATCTGACCTCGCAGCATTAGGATTTGTTTGCTTGACAGTAGGCTGTTTATTGGTCATGACATATGTAATGCGCCAAATCCCGTAGGAAGAAGGGCAGTAACGTCTTTCCCTTTGATAAAATTCACCAAACATTCTCTTTGTTCCGGCTTTAAATCCTCAATTTCGGGAATTGTTGCCAACACAGAATGTATGGCTTTGTCTACATCGATCTCAACTGCTTTGTTTACTGTTGTGCTATACCACAAAAGAGACCCAGACAGGCGCTTGAGCTTGACGTCATGGCTTCACAGCTCTTCGCTGATTGGCCGGTGTGCGGTCTACAACTTCCGTGGTTCTTGCAAACCATCTAGTGTATTCCCAATCCTGACCTAGTCGCTGAAGAGAAATGAGCAGAGGCACTAGGTGGCGCCAGCCTGGCTAAGTTGCCCCTTTTCACAGAAGGAATTATTGTATTTTTGAGCAATAGAGACACTTGTAATGAATAAATGCCAGATGGAAATGTTTATTGTGATACCATGAAACATTCTAGGCTAAGCAATAACATCTCCTTGGAGAGTTGTGCAATGCATCTTAAAAAAAAACATGAGCAATACAATAAATAAATAAATAAATTAGCAGAATATTACTTAAGTTGTTTATATCTATATAGTGAATCATAGAGGTATTTATTCAACAGTCTACAGTGTAGTACAGAAAAATAACATAAAATTCCCACGAATACAAAGAAAATGTACCCACAACAACATATAATATATATAGTAATTATCTTGACAGGCCTTGGCTTGAGTAGTAGTTTAGGTAGTAACCAATTCCTCAAATATTTCTCCCATTGACATAAGACGTCTGAGTGGGTCTTATTTCACAAACTTAGCAGTCATCAAAATCCACTCTCTCAGCAGCTTAACAGTTATAACAAAAGAAAACATACTTGTAGCTTACATTCTGCTTTGGCTTAGACTCAACACTAGGGGCTATCCTTTGCTAAGGCCTCCTCCTATAGTCCATGTGACCAGCACCTGCACTGGCACTGATGGCATTTCCTCTTTGTATGAGCAGGATCAAACCTCTATATTCCTACTCTGAAGTTAAACACCATATTGTAAAATTTGTTGCTTCTTGTTTGATGTTTTAGTTTTACAATGTATGAATGCCATCTGGGTGGGATCAGAATGCTATGCTGCTTTCTGTAGTTTTAGTGACTCTAGACATTACTGGCTATCAAGGTGGTCAATAAAATGCCTGTAATACTAATGCTGAGCTTTGGGCAGTAGCAGTCTAAAATTAAACTAACTGTGCATATACCGCCTAATCCATCCACTCTTTATTAGAAATTTCACATGAAATGTTCATATTTTGGGATAATATTGCTATAGACTAAAATATATTTCTTTCTGTTATAGCTTGTTTGGGTTATGTCTCCGATCCGATATTGGATAAGCCAATGCAATTCTTCATGTAACTAGGTCTTGTTTTGCCCTTTCTTGCAGATTCCCATTATACCCACGGGGAGAGAGGTTTCACTTTGAGTACGGCGTCTACCTGCTGAACAAGAACATTGCTCAGGTAATAAATCTACATGTGTCCAATAACTTCGAGCCCTTTAAAGGCCCTATATTATGCAAAACTGACTCTTTTGAGCTTTAAGGCATGTTATAATGTTGTTACCTCATCAAAAACCTGTACCTGGAGTTGTGTTTTTGTTTCATTCACACATGTTTGAGTAATGTTTTATTATTAATCTATCAACATCTCCAAAGCTCAAAATGCTCTTATGAAGCAGTATTTTTCAAGGTAACATCTACCTTTTAACTTTAGTAGAGTAGAGATGAGTAGAGAAGGCAAGGGCTGAAATCATTCAAATGATTCTAATGAAGGTGTATGGATTTTAAAAACACAGTGGAGCACTTCCAGCATTACCACATTACGTCACAATGTGGATCAGTGTGTTTTCTGAGAGAAAAACTCAGCCTAAAAATGCAGGCTTTTTGTATTAAACATGTGTGAATGAAACAAAACACAACTCCAGGTGCGTTTATGATGAAGAAACATTATAACATAGATCCAAAAATAGTGTAATATGAGCTCTTTATGTCATGATAATTACTATATCAACTTATCATTCAATACATGACAGGTGGAACAATAATTTTGGAGATAAATTTTTGTCATGGGTATATTTTCTTCATACAAGTGGGGGTCTTTTTGTTAATTTTCTGTTCAGAAGTTTGAATTATGAGGCTTGAGCAAGTTTGTGACACTCATAGATACAAACTACTTAAGTGTTTCATTCTGCTATTTATTTATTTATTTATTGCAATTTCAGTTTTTTATCATCTTTTGGAGCAAATTCTGCTTTAGGGATATCATAACAGGGACATAATAAGCATATATTTTCTTAAATGTGCATTGTGTAAATTTTCTGGTGGAGGGTATCCCATTTTTTTTTTTCTTGAAGGAGATGTTATTGCTTTGCTTGGTATGTTCCACAGTATGGCATTATAAGTCTATTCAGCCTGTGTTTCATTAGAGGTGATTTTATTGTTCTGAACTACATTGATGTATTCTTGTGTGAATGGACATGCCTCTCCACTGAACTGATCTGTACCTTGGCCTGGTTGCCTCCACGGAGACAGATACATTTAATGCTGTACTGTGAAACATTCCAGGCTGAACAGTTAAGTACATCTACTGGAGACCAGCATGTGGCATACCCTCCTCAAAAAGTTACACAGTGCGCCTTTAAGCAATATATCATACTTCAGAATTTGTGTTCATGACAAGCCTATTATTGACCCCCAAAAGCTGTGACTAAAGGAAGTGAAAAGCATTTGTCTGAGCCTATAATCCCAGCCGATAGGGGGAAAATATCATCACACTTACCCCTCCGTTATGAATGCTTGAAGGCAGATTCTCCTTCTCTTTCCATTGTTCACACCCCAGGGGAGGGTTGAACTGCTGACCTATCCGCGCTTATTAAAGTACACCTAATGTGTTGACCTGGGTGACTCCCTCCATTCATCCTCCAGACATTTAGCTCCAACAGTTAACAATTTGCATTCCTTTCTCAGTGTTCTTCTTCACCCCTGAAAGAATATAGGGCCTCCTCTATCCTGGATAAGACTTGGCAATTAGCACTAACAGGTGGTTCACTTCACTTTATTGCATTTGGGTGGTTTTACTTGCCAGCATGCTTCTTGCTAATTGTAAGTCTCAGACAACAATCAAAAGACTATGCATTTTAAATATGCGTTATACAAATAGTGTTGTGATGATACTAAGATTTCAAACTTGATTAAGATAGGTTACTCTACACCATTTTTAATACCAAAATTATAATAAAAACACTCCAAAACAATGTAATGTTCATCACAAAATAATAGTAGTTTCATTAAAGGTTTACAACTTAACTTTTCTGGTGGAGGGTTCCCCGTCTACTTGTCTCCATATTGACGTTATTGTTTTGCCTGGAATATTCCACAGTAGCCAGGCTGGCACCACCTAGTGTGAGACGGTTTCCACTGGCAGGTTTGACACTGGCAGATGAATCAGACTACCACAGTATGGCATTAAACAGATATATCTTGTATTTATTCAATTGCAGGTGTTTTTATTTCTCAAAACTAACTCAGAAAAAAACATGGATTATTTCTGTGAGCTCTTTCCAGATTGGATCTGTAACTTAGTCTGGAGACGTGGCCTGCTTGTCTCCATAGAGATTAAATTAAATGCCATACAGTAGAATAGGGATGGGCATTCGATAAAATTTTCTTAATCGATCGTTGGGAGAATTAACGATCGATTATCGATTAATCATTAACGTTTTTATATGAAAATGATCATCATTATTATAACTATCTGCACTACTAATCTGCATAAATAAATTCAACTTTACGACATATAAACCGTAACCACTCTAGAGCCACATCAACCCGTTTGACTTTATAATGTGTTTAATGCAGCTTTGCGCAAGTCTCACAGAAACGAAACTTAAAACCACATCGCTAATTTGCATAAACTAAGCGAAGAAAAAAAAAAAACAGCTCATGCACGCTGATGTGGTCAACTTCTGTCAGATTAAAGGACACGACTCAGTGGAATACAGGTTAGTGTAACCATATTTGCGTTTGTCAAAACCAGGACACCATACGGGGGGTGGGAGGTGGGGACTCATCATCGACATTGCGCTACTCTCACCTGGCAAAGCTTTTTCATGTTTTTGGTGTCCTGGTGAGCTTTTTCCCACTGGACACCAAAACATATGTGCTGCTTTGTACACTGTGCACATGGCCTCCCACTTGTCCCGACTGGAACGGAACGCGGGAATGTCTTGTACAAGTCATTGTTAAATACGTATTTGCGCTTCGGCACATCGCAGGCTGACCGACTGTTTGTGTCTGCTCGCTCCTTCTGAGTGCAGAAAGCTACATGTACGGACCCCTGTTTGTCCCCGGACACGGATGTTTGGTCACCCTACGCTACGCACAGCAACCTACATTCGGTTTGACGATTAAAATGAACGTAATCAATGAAATTCTTAATGATCAATTATAGATTAATCGACTAACCATCCCTACAGTAGAACATGCCTGGTAAAAAAAATAAAAAATAAAATAAACAGTAACATGTACATGGAGTGGCGGGGAGGTGGCAGACCCTATGTTACAAAAGTTACACAGTGCACCTTTAATGTTACCATTTGTGGTCTTAAACTAGTTATGATAGAGACCATTTTGTGAGTTTTTTCAATATCACCCAAGTGCATATCTAGTTTGGATAGTTTTAGTATGAATTAGTATCTACTTTTTCATACTTTTGGCAACACTTTACGCTAATACTGTGTCATCTTTTTAAAACACAAGATGTATTAAGTGAAAAAGACACTTTATCTCCGTGTCTGACACCAGCAAATGCATTTCTTCTTCTGAACATTTGGTAAGAATCACACGGGGAATTCATATGCCTACCTATAAACTTACATAATCCCCTCCCATTGTCATTTTATCAAAGGCGTGCATTATGATCTAAGCCTTGTGAGATTTCTGTTTCATAGGGTCTGAACCACATGCTATCAGAAGTTCTGCACTGCACAGACACACTGCTGAAAGTTTAATTTGACCCCTGATAGAAGACAGATGCAACTTGGACTGTAAAAAGAGCGCAATTTAAACTTCTTTTAGGTTATGAATAATTTTGACCGTTTTAGTGGCAAATGTATGCCGCTACAGACAGGGTATAGGTAATGATTTGAAAATGTGTATTTGAATAAAGGAAATCAAAGAAGGAAAATTAAAATGAGGTCCAGACAGTGAGAGTGGACAGGATGTTTTCACCCATGTCCGTCAAAGCCCTAGAAGTAGATTTAAACCACAAGTTGAAAACCATCTGTAGGTTTCACTCAGAAACACAGGTGGGCACACGATCACTTACAAAGGTAGCGTAAGAAGTCGGACTTGTATTAGCTTGTCAAAATAACACGATATATTACCAAAATGTCACAATAAACCATAATATTCAAACTATTGATGTTAATTATTCGAAAATCACTCAAATGTTGTCAGATAGGGCAATTAATAGAGTAATATAAGAACAAAAACAAAAAATAATCACACAATAAGTCAATATAGTAATTTTCATGACAGGTCTAGACTACGAAGTACAAAACTAAAATGACAATTTGACATCAGGTCGAACAAAAGTTCATTTAAAATGAACTTTTGTGGAACCTCTCATTTATGACAGCTCAGTTGTTCATTTCTTTGTTTCCTGTTTTAAGGCAAAATTTTAAATTGTGTTCAAAGCACTATTTTATGTATTCCATATGTGTCTAAATCCTCACATATTGGGGGTGTGTTATCAGGTTGACTTGAAAACATCATAACAGTACAACAGGACCAGTCCATTTCCACATGATCGTGATAAAGGATCATTGTTTGAAGAAAGGCAAAAGTGGTAAACATGCCACAGCCAATAAAAAGGAGGTTGCCACAAACTGAGATTTTGCACCCCGCACTACATTGTGTGCTCCTGCGTGGCTCATCTTCTAGTTTCTTAAGTTTCACATCACACATGCTTGTATTTTGAGGATAAAAAGACGAGAAGTACAGACGTGACAGAGCACTTTCATCTCCCTTGTAAATGTCAAGTAAATCCCTGTAGCATTTATCTATTTTTATAGGTTAAGGTAGCTCTTTCTGCAGTAAGATTCATTTTATTAATCCATGATATAAGACATTGCTTGCCTGACCTGTGTCTATAGGGAATTTTTGTTGTCAAGTTTTTACATTTTGCAATTTGCGTTGGTGGTTTTGCATATTTTTAAAAGTACACAGCTTTAATCTTTGCATTTATCTATATTTATGTCTCTGTTTTGTGAGTTTTTTTACATTTTTGCTGCCAATTCTTACATTGTTTGTGGGTTTGAATATTTTCCTTTGTGTGTTTAAGCTGGACTTGTTATGTGCTCGCTGTGGTGCTCGTCTGGTGTCGGCTGGGTGATAGAAAGCACAGATCTTGTTTCACAGTTGTCCCGCCTGCCTGGCTGATTGGCTGCTCTGCTAACAGGG